ACTAAACTATTATAAAGTTGAGCAGTCTATTTGAGCAGTGGAGAGCAAGCACGCGCCAACTTTTAAATAGATCGCATGTTTCTTATGATCTCTGTTAAAAAACGGACACTAGCCTGGATCGACGACAAGCTAATGCAAGCCAAGCCAAACATCCCGTTTACACGTTTGTGATTGTGGACACTTGTCGAGACTTGCCAAGTAAACGTACCGTTAGAGTACTAAAAGTGACCTATCTAATATGTTAATATGAAGTTGCCGTCTCCTAATTGCATTCGATTTCAAGATATAAAATGTTGGCGGCCGTCCAACTGCAAACCTTTTAGACTAAAAGGCTTGGAATGTAATGACCTATTTTTTCTCAATAGTCAATTGCTGTAATAGTCAATTTAAAATGGTACTCATATAACCAAGTTACAATGAGCTACCTACTTAAATTAGTGTTTGGAGTTTACTCTTTAAGAATCAGTTTTCATACAAGGAGCCCGGTATGAAAAAAATATGAAGAGGAAAACTTAGTAATTCGATTACTAAGTTTTCCTCTTCATATTTTTGACCTCGTCACGTTTTCTGTGCGCAACCTATTGTGCGCACATTTTACTTTTTAGTAATTTGTGTGTATAAATTGTATGCTTGTGTGCAGCCGAATCGTTCATAAGGAGTAAACTCCAACCGTGCGTCGGCGCTGATACATACACTTTTTTTTACTGTCTACGCATTTCAACTGAAAACAAAGCCAAATTAACTAAATATCTATGTTGCTTTCTATATACATATAGTTATTATTTCCAGAATTAAAGCGATTAAAAGGTCAAATTTCGTCCGTTTGGAATGTATTGCTTTATTTCAATGTCCAGTATAATTCGAACTGTAATTGTACCGACTATTGTACCCTGGCTGATCGCCGTACATACTGGACCAGTACCGATTCGTGTAACTGTTTTTACATAGTTTTAGGGTTCCGTATCCAAAGGGTAACACGGGTCTATGATACTAATACTTCGCTGTCTGTCCGTCTGTCACCAGGCTGTATCTCATGAACCGTGATGGTTAGAAAGTTGAATTTTTTACAAATGATGTATTTCTGTTGCGGCTACAACAACAAATACTAAAAATAGAATAAAATATTTATTTAAGTGGGGCTTCCATACGACAGACTTATTTTTTTTTTCGTTTTTATCAGATAACGGTACATTCCTTATAGCTCAAACAATTAGATTGGTCTGTGTAGATAATTTCATATCCAGCCACTTGTAATTCGACGACGATTGGTTGTTGATTGTTCTTTTCTGGAAGGAAAATGTACATTCTTGAAAAATGTCCCCCCATAGATAGGTTAGATTTAATCCACCCATTTCTTTCTTTCTCCTCCAACTACAGAAAAACTCGTATATTGTTCGAAAGAGCAGCGATTTTAATAAATTGTGCAAGGAGTACTCTTGATCCTTTTAATACTACAAGCAATGTTGTGCGCAGTATGCTTAACCTTAAATTTTTCCAAGCGTTACATTGTGTCGGTTTCAGAACCTCTGTTAAAGTACAATGTTTTAATTCGTGAAAACCTGTAATTGGCTTGATGTTGTATATCAATCTGACCATTAACATTTTTGTAGCTGTTGATTTTCCTAACTGAAGTAAACAAATAAATTAACTCGACCGTCACGGTAACGTTCCGTTCGGCGCTGTGATTGGCCCGCACTGAAATCTACACCAATCACAACGCCAAACGCGCTCGACGTCGTGAGCAAATTGATGTGAAACAAACTCAGACTGGGCCCTCAGATGGCGGACACAAGCGGATTCTGACTTCATTGTGTCACCTTGGACCAGTTACCGCAGTCACACACACTTGATTACTTATTATTCCTACTAAAGTTAGGCAATTCACAGGTAATACCTGTTGATCTATTATTTTGCAAAATGTTAAAAATCTTAAACATTGTGTGTATTTCCCATTATTGATGTCGTTTTTTCCTTTATCTATAACTAGCTGACCCGCGCAACTTCGTCTGTGTCTCTCAATAGTAATAAATTTTCTCCGTTTTTGAAACATTCTTCATTGGTGCTCCGCTCCTATTGGTCTTAGCGTGATGATATATAGCCTATAGCCTTCCTCGATAAATGGGCTATCTAACACTGAAAGAATTTTTCAAATCGGACCAGTAGTGCATGAGATTAGCGCGTTCAAACAAACAAACAAACAAACAAACTCTTCAGCTTTATAATATTAGTATACTCGTAGATTAACCAGATCCACTAATAGTTTCATGAATAATTTTCTATTCGATTGCATCAACCGATATACCAGTGAAAATTTAAAAATAAGAGGCAAAGAAATTAACCTTAGAATAGTAACAAACTAAATAGCGCTTATTTAACCACAGTTATTATAGTAAAGCCTTATCATTATAATTAATAGGTATGACCGTCCATCCGACTAAAACAATAATTAAAAATGACGAAACATAAATTTGTAATAGTGCCATCTGTTGGCGGTATGAGAGAACTAGTGAGATATGAACTGTGCTTATGTTTTTGACTATCCGTTGTGTGAAGACTGAAGATGGAGGGAGGATCTACGACTACTTCGGAGGTCTACCAGTACGTGGGACCCTTCCGGCTGGAGAAGACTCTGGGGAAAGGGCAAACAGGTAACAGTTTTTTATCATTACTTATATATTTTTTATAGTATAGGAGTGCAAACAAGCAGGTTAGTCTCCTGATGGCAAGTAACAACCACCGCCCATGGACACCAGTGACTTAAGAGTCATAGATGCGTTGCCATCCTTTGACTCCTCCCCCAGAAATAGGGAGAGGTGTGGTTCAGCCTTCGGTAACCTGACACACTCTGGAATTGCCATCCACCCTTTTCCCATTCGAAATTTGAAGTTTTTATTATCCTAGCCAGTAGCCTATGTCCAGCAGTGGACTAGTAAAGGATGTTGATGATGACGATGATGATTATCCTAGCCGTCTCACATTATCAGTTAACCAACTCCGACTCACCCTCGTATCAAAGCATCATTTACATCTAGTCTCATTCCATTACATTCTGTTCCATTTCCATGGAGGTTGACAGAGGTGCAGCCATAAAAGAAATCAGCCGTAATCTTTCACGATTTTAAATATCACGGATCCTGAATAAGATTAGGATGTAGCGACTTCCACATACAGTGAAACACAGAAACATACTACAGCGCCATCTAACGAACAAACACCGAACTAAGTAATAACTGCTAATCCTGTGTCGCGTTACGAATCATTTTCACGCCGATTAGCATATATTCAAATTCCCAACGTCACCCGCAAAATCACCTCACCTGGTCGGAGGCCATGACACCCGTTCCTCCACAAAGAAACCCCAGGTAATAAAGAACATCTCTATCCCCATTGGAGCTTTGACACGACCTGCAAATCTTCAAGAAAAAAGCGTGACCTCAAAGTGCGCCAACGAACTTGTAACTCCTGAGTTGCAGGAATCCAAGGCCGCGGCCACTTTCCATGAGGTGACCCGCATGCTCATTTGCCCCCATATCATAAAAATCTACAAATCAGGTCAGAACTACCATAATAGTAGGATATTATGGTATTTCTGACCTGATTTGTAGATTTTAATTAGCATTTAAAAATATAAATTCCTTTAGGTTCGTATGTTATACATATTATGGCTTGGCTCAAATATCTAACATCTTATTTAGTACTAGCTGTCCCGACACTTCTTCTTCTCAAGAAGAAGTGTCGGGGCAGCTAGTACTTCCACTTGAACACACACAAAAAAACTCATTAAAATGTCCAGTCGCTTAGGAGGAGTTCAGTCATATAATATAATGGGTTTTGCACTTGAGATCTCTTCAGCTGAAAATATAACCCCACTGTTCAGAAATTTCAGGACGAAAATTACCTTAATCAAGTTTTTTTGTGAATAAATGCGCCATTTTAAGAACAGTATAAGAGGTACTGGACAGTTTTAAATTCACATTCGTATTGGGGAGCTATCATCTCAAGCAGAATGTTGTACAGATATTAAACAGCTTTGTGTGCGCGGAGTTTGAACCCACTTAAAATAAAACACAATACCTACCATACAAATAATATCATAAATTATTTTTTGGTCTATTCTTATTTCTAATATAACACATCTTTAGTGTACTAAGTACTAAGTCAAGTTAGGTTTTGTAAATAAACTATCACGATATAAAATTACAACAAAAAAAAAACGTCTTTAAACATACTGATTCAGAAAAAGAATTGCGCTGAAGTGTATAAAAATAGTTTCTCTATTTTTCAATCTCTAAGCAGTATTTTGTTTTATAAATTTTAATGGAACCACACAGCGAGTTTACCTCTAAATAAAAATAATGTTAAAAATGATGAAGATCTTATCTTATATATAAAATTCTCGTGTCACAATGTTCGTTCCCGTACTCCTCCGAAACGGCTTGACCGATTCTCATGAAATTTTGTGTGCACATCGGGTCTGAGAATCGGCCAACATCTATTTTTCATACCCCTAAATGGCCGAAAATGTTGACCCATCCCTAATTTTTTTTTTTAAGCAAAGCAACGTTTGCCGGGTCAGCTAGTTAGAGATAAATTTGAGAATTTCCTCCTTTTTTTAATCAGTTTGAAAAAAGAGCCGTTTCTCTCCAACTCAAAGGACAAGTAATTAGGTTAGGACATTATAATGCTGTAGGTATACCTATTTAGTATAGTAGGCCAAAACCTTATTTACAAGAAGAGCCCTATGACCAACAATGGACTATTAAAGGCTGTTGATGATGATAATGACCTAGTGTTATTATCAGAATTTATAAAGCACGATACAGGATTATTTGGGTTTAAATGAGTTTATCTCGCTTTTGGTAGATGGCGCGTAGTTCAGAGAAGTTCAGCTGGATTCTTTTAGATGTCGCTTTATCTTTTTAATAAAGACGAATGTACTAAATAACATATATTTTACATTAAACTTTCTATTACATGATGCTACATGCTAATATGTGTATTCAAACTAGTAAGAAGCCTTCTTTAAACAACATTCTACGTATCTTGTTCCTCTTGGCATAGTTCCGCATAAAATTTGAATCGTTTTCCATGGCTGCAGCTTGCAGCAGAGTAGTAGTGAGGAATGGATCTGTAACATTATAGCATGGAAGTTATTACAGTAAGAAAGGCGTCATTATTACAAGCAGACGTTAAAAATATATTTTTTCGTTTCTAGACGAACTTTACGAAGTTTGATAAAAATCCATTACTTTGTTATGGTTAATAAATCCATATTTTAATTGAAAAATAAACTAGAAAGAGTTTTTTTCTTTACTGAGTTACCATAACGCCTGTCAACGTGAAAAATACACATCATGAACATAATACTTTTAAATTTAACGGTTATGAATAAATGAACTTAGCAGATTAAGAAAAAATGTAAACTTGCTGCACTGTTATATACAGGCCCATGTAAACACATGCCATCAAGCGGTGGCTAACATTAAACATTAAAAAAAGAAAAGTAACTAAATAAATAGAATAGAATAGAATATTCTCACACATCTCACACACGGCCGTCTGATTCCAAACTAAGCAGAGCCTGTACTATGGTAACCAGACCGCTGATAAACATATTTATATATTACTAAATACATACATATTATAGATAAATTACACCCAGACACAGAACAAATGACCGTGCTCATCACACAATTATTTGTCCTGGGTGGGAATCGATCCACTAAACCAACAGGTCAGTCAAAATAAACTCTATTGTCTTCATACATATAAATGTAACATAACAAGTGTCCTTTGAACAAAGAGATCCTTGTATTAACGAATCTATGTTTGTGAACGACATCCATTTTGCCACTCGCTTGCACACAGAACACTCCGATGTCGTTTGTTTTTCATTCGAAATTCAATTACGGTGAATCAAGCATGCGCGGGAAAAGGTGACAGCGCATACTTCACTATACATAATTTAGTCGATTTTGTATTGAATGAGACATTGTTACTAAATATAAGATATACCTACCTGCTAAGTTTAATATATTTTATAATTACAGTATCACATTTTCTACCTACCAGTCTTTTTTTCTTTTTTAACCGACTTCAAAAAAAGGAGGAGGTTCTCAATTCGACTGTATTTTTTTTTTTTTTTTTTTTTTTTGTATATTTGTTACTTGATTACTCCGGCAATTATAAACCGATTTGAATAATTCTTTTTTTATTTGGTAGGTCATACGTCAGAGGTGGTCCCATTGTCACCAGGTCAGGATCTGATGATGGGATCCTGGGGAAATCGAGGGAAACCCTCAAATTTTGTAGGCATATACAATGTTTATCAGAAATTATCTTAATCTATGTAGATTTTTGCATCTAATGGTCACCATCTGATGTTGCTGAGCTGATGATGAAGCTGATGATGAATGGTTTAGGAGTATGGGATCTCTGTAACAAAATTATGTAATACCATCGAATTTGAATGTGTTTGAGTCTAATTAATAAGGACTCCGATCCTATGTGATATTCAGGGTCTGATGATGGAGACGGTAAATAGCCATGGGAACTCTGTAATAAAATAAAGCAATTCCTCCGTGTTTGTCCCATTATCACCAATGCAGGATCCGATAGTGGGATCCTAGAGAAATCGAGGGAAATCCTCACAATTATTGGGAATTTGACAGCCCCGACAACGTGTTTTAGCTACGAGTATTTCTTTAGCCAAACAAACCATGGGAACCGTCAGAGACTGCGCGATGTGATGCGCAGAGAGCTTGCAGTATTTATGTCACCACAGTATTTTTTTTTCGTTGTATTAAGAAGAAAAGGTTGAAATGTTGTATTCTATCTTGTTAAAAAAATTCGGATAGACATTTTGTTGCTATGGATGGCATCGCATTTCGTTTGTAAGTAATTTTATACTTAATTTATTAAAATAGTTCTGGAAAAAACTCTTAAATTTTGTGTGGGTCAACTAGGTTCTAACATACCAGTATTAACCCTTCTAGTTGGAACTCCTTCTATAAAATATTGAGCATATTTGTTGAGAAGTCTCACTAAAGCTTCCCTATCTTCACCTTCGAGATCAGTATCAATTGAATCGGAAGTTATTTTGTTCGGTTGCAACTCACAAGAATTTGACTGTTTCTTAGAAAAGAATTTAAGCTGATCTTGATCAGTTTGGACGAAAATGTAATTTTCTAAGATATCCCTACCTATGATGACAGGTTCTGATAGGCAAGAATCCGGTACTACATGAAAGAGTAAGGTCTAAGTTATTTCACCTAGTTGTACTTCATTTAAAATTTGAGTATCACACCTTACATCATCACCCCCAATTCCAGTTAGGTAACTACAGTTTGTTACTTAACATTACGGTACGTAGTGTTTTAAATATCGTACTTATCTACTCATTACAAACATATCCTACACTAAAAATGGTAAAATAAACCCTTTTAAAAAAAAAGTTAAACCGACTTCAAACAACACCGACAAAGAGCACTAAAAATTAAAAAATAATTACAAATCTAAGTAAAAAACTATAATAAGTACCCTCACTGTAACAGGTAACATTATAATACCAATAGTCCCTTCTAGTATGTTTGAAGTCGGTGCCAAGCTCGATGCACAATAAGTAATACTGGTCTATGTCAGCTTTATATTAGCACAATGAAAAATTAAGAATTCAAAATAATTCTAATGAAACATTGAAGATTTTGTTAATTAATAAAGACCAACCAGATCAATCACGTGCGCAAACTTATCAACTACTTATTAAAGCATTCAAAATAATAATATAATTGGAGATGTCCGTCCACTTTACCTCGTTCAACATGTTTTGCGCAGCATGAAGACTGTTGCAGCTGCCGCGCTACATTCTACCATTCCTATCAAGCACCTATTTCTCTTGGCACCGACTTCAAACAGACTAGAAGGGACTATTGGTATTATAATGTTACCTGTTACAGTGAGGGTACTTATTATAGTTTTTTTACTTAGATTTGTAATTATTTTTTAATTTTTAGTGCTCTTTGTCGGTGTTGTTTGAAGTCGGTTTAACTTTTTTTTTAAAAGGGTTTTCATAAATTGTAATTATGTATATACTAATTTGACGACCGAATGGCGTAGTGGTTTCTGTAACGGACTGCTATTCCAAAGGTCGCAGGTTCGATTTCCGCTGAAGTCAAACATTTGTGTGTATGATCATTTAATGTTTGATCTGGGTCTATGTATAATAAGTATGTATTTACAAAAAAAAAGTATATATATTTATATCAGTTTTCATATCAGTTGTCTAGTAGCCATAGTACAAGCTCTGCTTAGTTTGGGACTAGATGGCGTTGTGTGAATGTGGTATAAAAAATATATATACATATATACCTACTTGAATTGTCTATTAGTTAAAATAATTTTTATTAATATTATTCTCGAACCATGTACACATGATCCACCACACCAAACCCGTACGTGTAAGTGCGGCTCTCCAGCTTCAAGATTGCCCGGATATGCTGTATAACAACTAGCTACTGACTAAAAGACCCCCCCCCCCCCCCAAATTATGAAATAAGGGCAAACAATCAAGCAAGCCACCTGAAAGTAAGCGACTGATTACGCCCATGGATACATCCAACTCTTGGGTTGCAGGTGTTCATGGCCAAGGCCAATTGACAAGGCCAATTGAAGTACCACCGCCGATGGGCGCTTTTAACTCAAGAGTCTTGTCGCCGCTCTTTGAGTCCCTCCTCTTAGAATTAAGAGGAGGGGAGGTTTGGGCTCAGATACCCTGACTCACTCCGTGAAAACAACGAATTATTACTTAACTCCGGTTTTCTGTGAGGCCGTAATCTCACTCCATTAGAGCCCACAGATTTGTGACGAAGGATGGCTCTCAGATAGGAAAGTAAGCATTCTGCTAAGAACACTACGTTCAAAACTTACATTATTACTTACTGGAAGGCAAAAGTTTTTGAAAGGCAACTATGCTGACCATTACAGTCTGTGTGGTGATAGATTAAGAATATGGAGGGTCACCACCCCTATTCATCCCGTGGGTGTCGAAAGAGCCGACTAAGGAAGCAAACTCTGCAGGATAACAGCACTGCAAAGAGAAGGAAAACTTGAAACAAACCCTATGCCAACCCGTCTGGCCAGCGTGGTATAGTAGGCCAAAACCAACTTGCTATGGAGAGGACTATGTCCAGCGGTGGACTGTTATTGAATGGTGATGAAAAGTTTTTGTAAAAAAAAACATTTCAAAAGTTACAGTCAATTTTCCAATTCCCAACACACGACCTAAATATGGCGAAAATAGCTCCTGAACCGAACTGTGTGGTAATGACAGACAAAGCGACCTCACGGAAATAAGCTGTCCCCAGACATTCAATACTTTAAACGACGAGAACACGAGAAATGTATTGTGTTTTACTAGAATATAACGCTGTATGTATCGATACAAACTAGATTCAATTGAATTCTTTAAAAAGTTGCAATTTTGTTTTTAAAATGTTGTTAAACTGTAGGATGATTTTAATTTTTGGTTCTAATAAGTAGATAAAGATCGTGTGATGACGGATTATGAATACGAAGTGTCACCTATTCATCCCGTGGGTGTCGTAAGAGCCGACTAAGGGAGCAAACTACGCAGAAAAACAGCATTGTAAAGAGAAGGAAAACTTGACACAAATCCTGTACCAACCCGTCTGGCCATCGTGGTATAAGTATAAATATATTTTAACTGCGAGCCACGCTTCACCACAAGTGGCTGCTTCAGCACAATTGACGATCTCCTCTATCAGGTAAGAAGGAGTGTAATTTTTGAATTTAAAAAAAGATAACTTCCGCACTAGGCATGTATCTTATATCGCGGCCACTTTACAAAAAATAATAAAACGGACACAAGGAACACCCAAACTCGGAACAACGATTTGTGGATCTCACAAAGTGTTGTCCGATGTGGGGATCGAATCCACTGTACTCAGCGTAGTAGGTAGCGGCAAGGTAACCGTTGAAACCACCACGCCAGAGCCTCACAGGAATTTATTTTGATTGCAGTTGCTGGAAAGGCCAGCAACTACGCCAATTCAAGTCTTTTACAATTTCTTGTAAAAACACTTACCAATATTAATCATCTCTTTAGAACTCTGTTTGTCTTCTATCGGAGTAAGAGAAACTCGCGGTGGTACTGCTTCTATGGCTGCGGAATGCTGTCGAATATTCGATAAGCTAGACGCCATTTCGAAGAACAATATTAAAAGTATTCTGAAAGAAAGTATTTCGACTTCATTTAAGTTAATTACAGTATTTGCCACGAGTCTAATAAGTCCCTTTTAATTAAACAACAATTTTTTAACTAAAATATATGACTACTCCTTCACTAGGAATAAGCTCTGTGTAGCGGGGCCCTTTACAAACAACAATTTTTGGATCTAACAAACTGTTGTCCCATATGGGGATTGAACATACAATACTAAGCGCAAGATGAAGCGGCGAGATGACCGCCTAAACCACTTCGCCATCCATGCAGTTCTTTCAGCATACACTGGATGTAAGCGTAGTTAATTATCCATGTGGTGACGGATTAAGAATACAGAATGTCACAACCGCCATAGTCATAGTAGGCCAAAACCGCCTTTCTAAGGAAGGCCTATGTTCACCTGTTTATTATTAAAGGCTGTTGATGATGATGATGACGCGTAGTAATGTCGATCTCTCTCAGTTATAACGCCTGACAGGCTCCTCTACGGTCACACGGTTGATGCTAGGAAGACGTATACACTTATAGATATCGCAAGTAGATTTTAATTGCGAGATACAAACTTAACAATAACTCTGTGGTTCAGTATATTTTCGAAAGATGGCGCCGAATTAAAAAAAAAGGCTTTGAGTAAATGTAACAACATTATGCGTTAGGTTTTACACGTGGTTTAATGATTTATTTTATTCAGTCACGTTTGGACGTTATTGCTTGTAGAAATGTCCCACTTACCCGTGAATAAAACCCATTATGAACAAGTAAGGAATCTGTATCGGTCTGTGTTCGCAGATGGGGCGCCAATAAATGGTATTATACTCCAAAGTAACGTTAACTGATTGTTAGAATGTTATAAAGAGCTGTTAATACCATATGGGATTAACGTTTCTTTTTTAACCAACTGGTACGCTTCGTCCTAAAAAAAATTACAATCATTTGATGCCTAATTCACCCAGAATAAGGTATATTGTTATTATTATAAATATATTTCTGCGAATACTGAAGAAGTATACGGATTGTCGTCACCCCTATTCGTCACTAGGAAGCCAACTACAAAGGAAAACAGCACTGCATAAAGAAGGGAAACTTAAAATAAAACCTATTCCAATCCGCCTGGCTATCATGGTACAGTAGGTCTAAAGCTCCTTTCTAGTCAAGTCCACTGCAGTCCTATACCATAAAAAAAATCACCAGCGAAAACATAATAGTACGATTGAGTGACAACAACATACAGCAAAAATTTGTTTTAACGCCATCTGGAGATGACACGGTACAACTATTTAGTATCTAATGATAAATACACTTACATATACCTTGTATTTCTGTTTTAATTTATTTGATACAACAATGAAGGTGAAAAATAAGGGAGTCTCTCTAAATCTAGTACCTAATACAAAAATAAAAATGAAATTAAGAATAAAATTAAATAAAATTAAGTTAGAATATTTACAACATTTACACTATCTACATACAAGCATCAAAAAATTCCTCCGCATCATCGCCTACTGGTAGCGTTCCCAGAATTCCCACGTTCCCACGTTGAATGGCAATGCTAAATATATATTTATAACTTTGTAACATCCAAACATTGGACCGCGAGCTCACGGTCCGATATTTTGATGCAATGGCAAATGCCAGACAAGTTCGCTTAGTCTGAACGGAGAATTCTTCCTGTCTACCGAGTGCTACCGAGAAAGCAACACCAGTTTCCCTGTAGAAACTCAGAATAATCATCATCATCATCATCATCAGCCTATCTCAGTCCACTGCTGGACATAGGCCTTTCCCATTGCACGCCACTTAGATCGATTTTGGGCTTCTCGCATCCAGCTCCTGCCAGCCATCTTGCGCAAATCGTCACTCCACCTGGCCTGTGGGCGTCCTACACTACGTTTGCCGAGACGCGGTCTCCACTCAAGAACTCGTTTTCCCCAACGGTTATCGGTTCTGCGGCTAATATGGCCAGCCCACTGCCACTTCAGCTTGCTGATCCGGTACGCTATGTCGGTGACCTTAGTTCTCTGCCGGATCACCTCATTTCTGATGCGATCCCTTAGAGAAACGCCGAGCATAGCCCTTTCCATAGCACGTTGAGCGACTTTGAACTTGTGGACCAGCCGTACCGTAAGTGTCCACGTTTCAGCTCCGTATGTCATGACGGGTAGGACGCACTCATTAAAGACTTTCGTCTTAAGGCACTGTGGGATCGACGATGAGAAGACTCGACGTAGCTTCCCAAACGCTGCCCAACCCAACCGAATTCTTCTGTTCACCTCGTCCTCGAAGTTGTTTCTACCTAACTGCAATGTCTGCCCGAGGTACACATAATTTTGAACAACTTCGAGAACGGCACCGTGTACCGCAATCGGTTCCGGTAGTACATGTTCGTTGAACATGACCTTGGTTTTATCCAAGTTCATCCGTGTTCATCAGAATAATAGTAGGACTAAATAGCATACGAAGTTATGAATATGAAATAGACCTTTGCCCTAATAAACACAACGTTACACCACAGAGGCTTGGAAAACCTCACTAAGCTGGCACTCAACACCGCGCTGTTATCTATCCCCGGAGGGCTATTATTCACATTATATAGTAGCTGCCTTAGGCGTGTGATAGAGCGGTTCACCTTGGCTTGCATCCAAATAGTTTGTGCCAAACCAACACCAATTAATATTGACCAAATGCAAATTGTTCGACACTTTAGGAACTGCGTTCCGTTGTTATGCGGAAGGTTTCCTGTTTTTTCTCATAAATTAAACTCCTCGTCAAATAGAAAGGTGCCAAATTAAATAATAATCTATATATATATAAAAGAGATTTTCACGTATGTAGTCACTCATCACGATATCTCTGGAACCATTACAGCTAAAGACTTGAAATTTGGTAGGAATATTCTTTTCACCGAGTAGAGGTCAGCTAAGAACGGATTTTACGAAATTCCAAAAAAAATAATTAAAATAATGTAAATAGCAAAACAACGTTTGCAGGGTCAGCTAAGTAACACATAATGATTTATTAACTTAAATTTACTTATAGAAAAACATTTTTTACTTTTTAGTTCAGTTAGTTACAAAAGCGTGATTTCAGGTGTTTTTAAAATATAATTTTATGTTTCTGTTAACTGTGTTAAAGGCAGAATGTGAACAAAATGAAAGCGCAAACTTAACTAATAAAAACACCTCATTGAGGTTTGACCTCATTGTGAATTAACATCTCTATACGACACACGATCGTAAAAACAATGACTATCAACACATTTTTTTCCAGTAAAAAGTCTGTTGCGTGAGAAACATGGCTTTTCAGGCAATGTTAGGTGGGTGTCACGGTGGTGGTGGGGTAGCCAGTTCTTGGCTCCTGGTTACAGGACAGGACAGAACATACAGGACTGTCAAAAACTTTCAAAATCCTCGTCTGCACTAAAAATTCAATAAGGTGCAGTCGAATCGTTCTCAGGGAGTAAACACACAATTTTTTGTTTTATTGTACATTGCTATGGTGATTTTGGTTATAGTAGTAAGAACAAGTCTCGACAATCTATCTAGCTATCTCTATGCCAAATTGAATTAAAATCAATTCAGCAGTTTAGCCGTGAAAGCGTAACAGACAGACAGAGTTACTTTCGCTTTTATGATATTTGTAGGGATTATATATTTCCTGACCATGGTTTACAATAAAGAATATCTATCTATCTATGTAATATGTATTTACTTGACACGCTCTGAAAAATAGATACAGCATGCTTCGCCGTCTAAAATAGCGTGCAAATAGTCGAAAATGTATTCTTACAATAATATAAGATCATACCAATACTTTCTTAAGGGTTTATCAACTAACTAGTGACTCGTCCGGCTTCGCGCGGGTTCAATTTTTACGATACAACGTTTAATCTTTGAAATCCTCGGATTTTCTAGGCCATAATTTGCATGTATTATACAAGCAGCAATAGAGTCTAGAATCGTTTAACAAGATATTAAAATGTATAGATTTTAAGAAGAATTGATAATAGTTACTGTTTCCATTTCAGGTCTGGTGAAGTTGGGTGTCCATTGCGTGACGGGCAAGAAGGTGGCGATCAAGATCATCAACAGAGAGAAATTGAGCGAGAGCGTTTTGATGAAGGTGAGTAAACTTTGTGTTATCCCTTCTTAACTCATCATCATCATCATCATCATCAGCCCTTACTAGTCCACTGTTGGACATAGGCCTCTTCTTAGAAGGGAGGTTATGGCCTACTATACCACGCGGGCCAGACGGGTTGGTGTAGGCTTTGTGTCAAGTTTTCCTTCTCTTTCCAGTGCTGTTTTCTTACGACACCCACGGGATGAACAGGGGTGGTGACAAAAAAAAAGAAAAAAAAAAAACTTTCCAGGGAGCAGAGGGAACATGGGGTTCCCACACGGGGGGTTCGTCTACCTGTTGTTGTAGATGGCCCGAGGTATGTCGGGGCACCAGGGACTTCCTTTCTAGGGTATACCTGGTTCCCCGGCTATTAGTACCCGAGACGGCGTGCGGTTTTAGTCGGTTCGAGTTCGACATGCCACCGATAGGTGGTATTCGAGGGGATTTCCGCACGAAAAAAAAAAAAAAAAAAAGGTGTAGTGACACTCCGCATTCTTAATTCGTCACCACACGGACACTCATTCTCATCATAATCATCTAGTTAATCGCACATCGTGTGTGAGCTGTCTATTTATATTATAAGCAATTTTTGGCTTTACGTCTTTTCCCAACCGCTTAAGAAGCTAGCCAGGAGTACTTTGATCAACTTGTTTTTATATGTACGCAGGTGGAAAGAGAAATAGCGATTATGAAATTGATAGAGCATCCACACGTTTTGGGCCTCTCCGACGTTTACGAGAATAAGAAATATTTGTAAGTATTTTTGTAATATTAACTTAACCTTTGTACATTTTTAACAATTGTTTGTTTTTATTTTAGTTAATAGTCTTTTGGGGAGTCAGTAGAAAATATATATAGGTATTTACGCAACCACGAAATGTGAGACAGTTGGTACTACGACTGTCCTGATTCCTGAGTCGCATCTATTATTTGTCTACCAAATTAAAAGACGTACCATTTGTATTTGAAACGGACTAATTTCAGGAACTTGATGAAGAGCGACCATCGAGTCTAAGCCTAGTCGGGCATCCTCGAATAATGATAATATAAAAATAACCAAAACTAGGCAGAGCCTGTACTGTGGTAACCAGACTGTTGATAAAGAAACATAGTGTATATTTCTAAACACATACATTTTATAGATAAATTACAACCAAGAATATAACAAATGATCGTGCTCATCACTTAATCATTTGAATCGAACCCAGCACCTTTGAGTCACTAACTACTAAACTAACAGGCCTGGCAACAGGTTACAAATTGTCAAAAACTATATGAGTGGCAGACTTCTTTACCGTGGCAGTGCCACGTGATATTTAAAGTGGCATGTGGCTTCAAATGAAAGTTGCAACCAACTACGCGAGTCTTAAGTCAAACTTTTGCGTGCTTCATCATCCTCTGAGCCTTTTCCGAAACTCGTTGGGGTTTAGGGTTAGGGTCAGCTTTCACTCTACTACGACATGGCTGAACTTCGATTTGTTACGTGGAGCGACTACCATCAGACCTCCACAACCCAAGTTCTAAGCGATATCGAAGGTCTGTAAATAGACTCTTGTCGAACTTTTAGGGCTCCAGTTATCTGTAATGATTGACCGGGAGCGACGCTTTTACGTTAAACTTTAAAACACAAGCGACCACAACAGTAAGTAGTGACAAGAAATTTTAGAAAGAATACTTACTCGTTTTAAAGAAAAATTGTAATATTCTAAGGAAATATCTATGTCTATTGGTAACATAGTACAGGTAGCATTGTTTTGGGGCCAGACGGTTGTGTGTAAGATTATTATTATTAATTAATTATGACGGGCCTGTTAGTCTAGTAGCCCACTGCTGGACATAGGCCTCTCTTTAGAGGAGGTTTTGGCCTACTCTACCACGTTGGCCAGGCGGGTTGGTATAGGGTTTGTTTCAAGTTTTCCTTCACTTTGCAGTGTTGTTTTCTTGCGTAGTTTACTCCAATAGTCGGCTCTTATGACACCGACGGGATGAATCCGTCACCACACGGATACCTAATAGGTACACATAAATATTAAAACACGAAATTTGATTTTTTAGTAGTAAAATTAAAGGACTCTGGTTTTAATTTAGTAATTTTTAGAAGTGAAATTACAAAATATGACGTCACACTAGGGGAGGAGTCTCACAATTGGGAACAGCTGTCACAAGAGCGGGATGGGCGTAAAAAAAACCGTGAATTTCGTGTAACATAATTTATAGATAGCCTCTTAGGACAGGAACATTAAACGGCCATCGATAACCAAACCAATAAACTGATTATTATTATCGTTTTTTAGATATTTAGTGTTAGAACATGTGAGCGGTGGTGAGCTCTTCGATTACCTGGTGAAGAAAGGTCGACTGACGCCCAAGGAAGCGAGGAGATTCTTCAGACAAATCATATCTGCGTTGGACTTCTGCCATAGTCACTCCATATGGTAAGATTTTTTTAATTGTTGACCGACCAACGCCTTCCCACCACTCACTCTGACAATAAAACTAGGTACGCAGGAAAGCCATACTTCAGCGTACATGGGCAGCGACACCACGGCCTCATAGAAAACATGCAAATATTTCTGTGTTTTACTGAGGTAGTTAGGTTAGCGTCGGCCTAACCCCTCCCTTATTGTCCCATGAGCGCCACATCTATCAGTCAAATAGTTTTCAATCGCATGCTTCTCTTTCTTTTGCAGCCACCGGGACCTAAAGCCAGAAAACTTGCTCCTGGACGAAAGGAACAATATAAAGATAGCAGATTTCGGTATGGCCTCCCTGCAACCTGCCGGGTCTTTGTTGGAGACTTCTTGTGGAAGTCCTCATTACGCCTGCCCAGAAGTTATTCGGGTGAGTAGCAGATTTTTTTTCTTCTAAAAGTCAACTTCAGTACTAGGAATATCTGGTGGGTCCGCGGGGGATTTTACAAACACCCATCTCAGAGCGGTTACGCATTACCTCCGATCCGAATCCGTGAAAATACGGTCCGAAGTAGTAATAGAACAATTTCTATGGCAGTTTATGCACTAGGTCCAGGTTGCTTCATCCGATTTCCGATTTCATCCGTGGATCTCCATTCCGGACAAGAACTATTGACGCATCAAATTAGCCATACTATTATTTGTATGTCGTTCGTACGTACAATAGCATTGCCAGAAATTGACGCCGATCGACAGGACTCATGATCAAAGACGTGAACCTAAAATGCCGTATGCCAAAAGGTAACTTTCGAATTGTTTCGATTAGAATCAGAGATCGCAAAAGTGCGTAAACAATATACGAATTCAGTCAGTTAGTCAGTCTTCCAAATCCGTAATCACGGATCACGGAGGTAGTACGATAAGCAATTTCCGAATTCAATCCGAGATTTTTACCGCTCTAACAGCCATAAGAACACCCAAACTCAAAACAACAATTTGTGGATCACACAAAGTGTTGTCCCACGTGGGCATCAAACTCAACGCAGTAGGAAGCGTCGAGATGACCGCTTAAACCAATACGCCACTCGTGCAGTCCATCTTTCGTTTATTGTAGGGTACAAAGTTCAGTGGTTAGAAAACCTTTCTGCTGACATAAATCCACTCTTTCCATCCATTAAGCAAATCCATTATTTATAAAAAAAATCCTTGATTAAATTTACAACAGTAGGTATCACCGGCGTCTTATCCCTGAACAATTATCTTTATTCTTTATTCTCCACCCTCGGTGTTAGTATTTTGTCTTTTGAATTTGAAAGGGACCAAGCTTGAAATATAACCTCTTTTAAATTGAATCGATTTTAAAATTCTTTTAAAATCGATTCTATAAATAACGGGTCCTGAGGTTACAAACGTTAAAAGAAAAAATAATAATTGAAAACCTCCTCCGTTATTAGAAGTCGGTTAAAAAGAATCAAGACTATTTGCGAATACATTCGCTGAAAGCGATCATTGTTCTAAATAGTAATGTTTTTTTTTTAAATCTTGTACTCTATGGTTACCTAATGACATAAGAGTAATTTACCTACTTTAAGACGGAAGCGGAACTAAGGGGCGTTTCTATTGTCACTGACTTTCCTTGCCGTCTTACAACAGAGATAATAATTCACAATGAACTCTAGTCAAATATAAATTGTATATTTCCTGTTTCATTTTAATTTAATAATAGGCCGGCCGACACTCGAAGTGTTGAATTGAATGTCATGTCGAGAATTTAACAAATAATATAATCCTGAGTGTTACTTGCTGGTATCTAGCCGTAGGAGGCAAATCAGAGTGATATCCATAGAGATAATATAAGAATAGAGCACGTCAATACCACCGAACGCAATGCTTTGAGGTGTCTCACGGTGCGAGGTGCTATCTCTCTCTCACTGCATGTATCTAGGGAATTAAGAAAGAGACAGAGAGGGGCTCTGCGTGCAACCATCTCTCTCGCACTGTGTGATACGGTGAGGCTTCCCTTGCGTACTCTATTCTTAAATTATACCTATGGTAATAGCACGCCCCCTCTCTTTCTTAACTCTGGGACGGTGGGGGGAGGGAGGATTCAAAGGGTTGTATGGTATCGTATCGTTCTTCGTATTCTTCATCTCGTATCTTAAGTCGCAGGTGTCCAGGCGCGATGATGGTACAAATAATATTACTTTTTTGGAAATTACATGTATAGTATCGTGTAAACGGTAAATTGGCACTTTTATCACATACTTGCTGGTACCCGTGGCTCCGTCTGCGTAGTAACTTTCCTTCAAGCTTTTTACGACTGAAAGCTTGTCTCATACTAAGTCCTATTTATTTACATAGGGTTATTGGTTAACTCCACCTGGATACTTTAGGGGATTGTACTGGTACTGGTAGCTGAGACTGCGTACGGTTTTTAGTCGCTTAGAGTCCGACATAACCACAGGTGGGTGGTATACGAGGGGATTAAATGAACATTGATGGCAACTAAAACCCCTTAAAGTATCTAGGTCGTCTTCAGTAATCCTGTATTCCAAAATTCATCAAGATTTTGACTCTTAATTGCAGGTGTCCGTGGGCGACGGTAATCACTTACCATCAGGTGGACCGTCCGCTTCTTTGCCCTCTATACCATAGAAACAAAAATAGTTTTAAAATGTAGTTATGTAATATTATCTATTTATTATTTAAAACGTAAAGAAAGTTCTTTGTATCCCTTTTTAAACAAATTTCGCTTTCGGAAGCAAATAGGTCTCATATTTGGAAACATTTATCTTTAGAAATACACGTTTATTTCTACTTATATGTGACCACAGAAGAAATGATCATACTCTTCACACAATTATTTGTCCTGGGTGGGAATCGAACCACGACCTCTGGCATAGCAGCCAGGAACGCTAACAACTAAACCAACAGGCCAGTCGTACGCGTCGTCAGGAGTACAGATACAGAACTTTCAGACAGATATAGAACTCAAGACAAAACACTTTTACTCAAAGCTTTGAGAATAAAAGAAACAAAAAATAAAGATTACGAAAAGTATTTTAATACGCTTCCACAAAAAAAATCAAAGTAGGTATTACAATACGAACTAGACTAACAACTATACAATAGCGAGTGTTTATAAATATACCCATATTGACATAATGATAATTAAGTACATAAACGCATACAAGTTATCTCAACAGCGGGTAAGTGGCTTTAACTGTCTTTAATTGAATGTGGGTAGGATTCTGTAAACAATGTTAAATATACAGGTTGTTATAAAAAGCTATATGTAGTCATATTTCAGTGTTTAGCCCTTAGATAACGTGTGATATACTTTGATAAATTCATGACTTTGAAAATATACATTTATTGGTTTTTATAGTGACACATTTAATTTGAAAATTTACTGATAAGGCGTGTCAGATTTTTTAGTCGACTAGTTTTGGACGTTTGAATTTCTTACTTTGAAAATGACAAACTCCCATACAACTGTTCATCCCTTATTTTACCCGATTAGGCGTGAAATTGCCAAAAATCCTTTAGTTCAGTTCTCTATCCTTAGTGGGCGCTTACAACATTAAAAGGATCAGCTGCCAAAATTTCAAGTTGTAGCTCCAATAGTTTAGGCTCTGCGTACATGAAACAATCAGTAAGGGCCGACATGAATATAACTATAGGCATCTAACACCAAGGAATTAGAATAATCCCATTTTTTTTAATAATAACAGTACCTATACTTAAATTAAAACAAAATTTTGAAATAAAACTGAAAATTTATAATACGTAGTTAAGAAATATGCACTAACACTAGAAAATGCAATTTCCATAGAAAAAGAAGTTCCAAAACATTTGGCTACAAACTTCGATCACAACTTTCTGTAACAACCTGTATATTAAGTTTAAAGATCTTACAACAGAGGAAGTAGTCACTTGTTTCGGAAGTAATTGATGCAGTTACCATGGTTACCAATTTGGTTCCCGTGGCCACGGATAAGTAAAAACAGGAAGAAATAAATGTAAAGTAGTTTTTGAGCGGAGGCATGGAGGCGTATGCCTGTGATGAAAAATACCGACAATATTTAAACAGCTCATAATGTCGTGATATAACATATATCCAACAGCGAATTGAGTAAATACACACTGTGACACAAGCGGTGCCAGTCCCTCTAGTTTTTATTAAACCAGTGGCGAATTATCACGTGTTCTAAGCATACTTATTTTAAATCTTGTCTTTTGTTTATTTATACTTTAATTACTTTAAGTTCTTATTTGATTCATAATTAAATTATCAAAAATTTCTTTTTTATTGTGTTTTATTTTAATAATATTTATTACTATTCAAAAGGCTGCAGTAATAAGAAGATCTAATCAAAAATTGTATTATTAAAGCTGGAACTTTGTCTCCCAAAGTTCGCCCTGTATTTATCCCCATAATATCCTTATGGGAAAATTGTTAACTATTTCATTCCTAAGAATATAAAATATAAAAAGAATATTCAACTTTTGTATGATTATCAACTTGTTGCAGGCTGTTATAATCTTTACAGTAAGTTTTATAGCATTAAGTTAATGTAACTCACAAATTTTAGTTCAACTTATCTGAGCTTTTAACTAAAACTAGGAATGTCAGATCTATATATTTATATTAAATAACTAATATATATAACTGCCTATAGTTTATATAACAAGTCTTACATAACCTGGGCAATGGGCATTCTTAGCCCGTTTCTATTAAACTAAAAATACTAGTGGAGTCTTATTTATAACAAAAGAGTACAGTAACTTTTTCACCTCTGTCAACCTATTTCTTTGTTTAATAGTTATTAATGAACTTATGGAATTGATAAAATTAAAATCATCGAGATGGAATTGTCAGTATCAAAGTTAATTTCAAACGTTAGTAGAACTGAAGTCCAATTGCGTTAAGGAAATAGTGACGCATCGATCTATGTCCGAACTCTCACCAATCAGGTTACAAGCTTCTGTATAAAACGAAAATTTCTTGCAACCTGATTGGTCAGGTGACGGGACTTGATGGATACTTCACGAGGATGGACTTAAGGTATTATTTGAAAACAAAATGTGAGGCAGTTTCATAGATATTTACAATTTACACTTGAGCATCAAAACAGAGCAGTACGGTGTTTTATATCAGTAAGATAGTTTAGGCATTAGACAATCAGAAAATGTTGGGTTCATGTAATACACGTATTATAGACAACGTTATTTCAAAGTTTTCAGGCGAACTTGTCTAAAAATATGCAGCCTTAGCAGGGAAATTTTTGATGTCAAATTGAAATACATTTTTTTTACTGTTTTCAAAAGATTTTCAATTAAAAACTTCGTCACTTATAAACCAGTCGTCATCTTAACAAAAGGCAAGCATTATACAGTGTGCAGCGTTATAGAGAATTATCTAAGTAAACTTCATAAATACAATTCGGAACATCTTACCATTAAAACATAATTAAGTCAAGAGAGTAATATTATGACAAATAATTATTTCAAGAAACAATAACTTACGAACAAATAGTAATTTAATATTGAGCCTGCATATTTAAGACTGAATATGTTTTTGTCTAACTGTTTGCGTTAGCCAGAATCAAGGTCCAATATCAAATAATGATTAAATAAACTTACTATTCGACCGGACTGTACAACGGCCTCACAGAAAACCGGTGTTAAGCACTTCTTACGAGGCTTTTCAACGAGTGAGTGAAGTTACTTTAAGCCTAACCCTTTGTGGCCCCAGATTTAGGGGGTAATTAGGTGAGGGGGGTAAGGTAGGTTGTAACGCCCTTGTATCACTTCAGTTACATGTGTCTATAGGCGGTCCAAAAATAAATTTATCAAACCTGGGAATGAATGCTCTATTTTGATGCCCCAGTCTAACAACTACTGCCATCTAAGTAAACCCTATCACTTGAGTGTGGACACTGTAATGTTCAGGGCATTCTCTTCCAGTCAACCTTTAGTGGTGTAGAAATCGTTAGTGGTAGGCGCACATAGGTAGCATTACTATTCAACTTCTTTGAAGTGATATAATTTTAAACACAATAGTAATAAAATAAATAACTAGTTTTGTTATGTTATACTCAATTTAAAAGTGCAGCGATATTATTAAATGTGTTTCAATACTAAATGTCATAGTCATACACTCACATGTCTGATCCCCAAAGGGGGACACAGAGGCGAATTAAACGCTTACATTTTTGCATACTTATTCCCACTTATGTAATACAGTACGTGATACAATAGATTCAAAACTAATATTATATGACATCCTATTATTTTCTATAATTGTAACATTTTATATAACTAAACAAAAATGGTAATTTAATGAGCAAATTACTTAGAATCACAGTCAAAAATTGTCTTTACTCAAAAATCACATTCTGTTGCATGTCTGTGGCATTACTTAAAAAAAATAAACATAAATTCTTACAAATTTAAGCTTAAACAAGAAAATGCCATTGGAGGTAACACCAGATAATTTCTTAAATAAGTATGATGTTAATTAATTTATACTATAAGATACTTTTACTCTAAATGAAATGAGACAATTAAGAATTTCTATGTATTGATCTACTGACTGACTATTACCCTTTAAACTATGTCTTTCTGATACCAGATCTCAAAATTTAAACAATTTTAATTCATAACGACAAATGTCTATAAATTAACTAATTCAAATAACATCAGGCTGTGTTAAGAAATTTGTTCAAAGGTACATTTGTATTAGTATAATAATAATTTTTCACTGTTAACATTTAATTATGTACTCCAAAATACAATACATAGACTGTTAGAAAGCTGGCAAACACAAAAGGGAATAAATTTTAGGCCACCTGTATATACAGTACTAATTATGACATTGTATAAAACTATATAATTATACTGTCAATGACAAACTTAACAAATATACCACCACACATGAAGCATTATTAATCATCATCAACTCTTTGCTTTTTACTGGTGTTTGACGGAGTCTGCGGAGGTGAACAGCCAGTGTCCCTTCTCTTTCCAGAATGTCTAGCACAATTATTCGAAGAGTGACGGTGAGAATGAGAATGTGATGATTCCCTGTTCGGAGAAAACTGTTTCAACATTTCAACATCATTGAATATAACTTGAGCTCCGCCACCGCAAGTGGGAACGACATCACCTTTGTACAACTTTGTCTCCAACTCCCCATCCGTATCTTGTTCCTGGGATATCAGACAATATTTGGAGGTCTTCGGATTAGTAATGTCCTTTGCGGTGGTTAGCTTTTTAACAATTTTACTATTGGCAATGTTGGGTTTCATAACTGTGCCCATAGGAACTAACTTGTTAGGTGCGTGTTCTATCCAACCTCGTCCATCAGCTGACAGTGAACGGCGATGCCTAGGGTTGGCAATGGCAACTCCACGGCGGGACGAAGCAGGCGTGTCACGGGTTTCTCTAGTATGAGGTGCTGAGCTAAAAGGTGTCAAAAGATGAGCAGGCAAAGCTCTGGGAGTGGAGCCAGGTGTGAATTCTCTACCACCACTTGTCTGAGCACCGATCTCATTGGTTTTTTGATATGTTTCAATGTTGTCTCCTCTCTCAGCATTTAACACTTCAGCAATAATCTTAAGACAGTTCTCTTTTTCTTCAATTGCATTTCTGAGTCTTTCCTTCTCACAGTTAATTTCTTTAGCTTTCTCATGTTCAGCAGCAATCTTATGATTGTACTTCTTTTCTAGGATCTTTTTCTGCTTCTCTTTGTCAAATTTGTGCTGACTTAACAGCATCTCTTTCTCCTGCAACTCTCTTTTCAATGTAGATGTATATTCAGTCATTTCTGACAACTTACGTTGGTGAGTAAGCGAAGCATTCTCAGTGGCTGTTAGCCTTTCTTCTAGGGCTCTCACTCTTCGTTCTGCAGCAGCTAATTGTCCCTTCAAAGCACGATTTTCAGTTTTAACATCCATTGCATCTTTCTCTAAATCTAATAATGCTGAACGTAGACGTTCATCCTTGATGGCTTTGCTTCTTTTCAAGGCTTCTCTTCGGCTGATTCTCATTTCTAGATGTGCCATCAACTCTTTGATGATGTGAGCAGCTTTGGAACTGTTCAGTTCCAGACTAGGGAAATCAGGTCCAAGACTATACACAAGACCTAGGTCCATTTCCAGATCTTTAGCTTCTGGTCTCACTAAGTTGTCTCTAGCCGTAGTAAAGAGCCTGTTGGCTTTACGACGGCCTGAAGTGAGGCCTATAGTAGCAGCAACATCAATGACTTGTGGTTTAGCTACTTCAACTTCAGCAGCCACCTCAGCAAACCGCATCACTTGAAGTGTTTCATCATAGTCTTCAGCTCTTGGGTTTGCACACACTACCATACGGACCTGACCTTCACCTTCAAAGAAGTTCTTGAAGAGATGGGTTATTTTTGACTCTCTGTAAGGTACCATATTGTTAGTACCACTCACCTGATTTTCTCGTAAAGCTTCCAAACAGGTCCTAAGCGTCATCAAAGATTTGTTTATATTACCTGCTTCTCTGAGTCTTTGGCCTGTGTTTTTTGTTCTGTTTGTGCGTTCACTGCCTGCTAAATCTACTAAGCTGAGTTGACTTATATTTAAAAACTTTTTATTTTGAATAACAGCTTCTCCCATCTCATCGACTGGTGCCTGCACCAATCTTATTGTGAATACAGAATGACTTCTACTAGATTCCGCATTTAAATTTGTATGTGCCATGCGTTTACGTTTTAAACCTAAGTAGAAGGCCTCGAATGCCTCCTCAGCTGACTTGATTTCTACCTCGGTGACACCATGAACGTACATGTTATGTGCTGCATCCTCACGTATGATTTTTACTGGTAGATTCCGAGTGATCGGTGGCCCGTCCTCGAGCAAATCAAATACACTGTTATTATATATTTCTACATACGTCACGAACACTGCGTACTGATTATCTTCATTGATACCTTCAATTTTAGTAACATCAGATGATGACATGGCCAAATCTGGATTAGAATTGTTTTTCTTGCCACTTTTAAATTTGTGGAGCTCCTGTTGACGCTCCAACATTGCCTCCGCCTCAGTTTGAATATCGAACATGTTCATTTTGTCAGGTTTGAACACGTATTTGTGTGCTTGGAAATCGTTTATAGTTTTAAAAATAATGTTCAAAGCGCGAGGTAAAATACCACAATTCTGTGGTTCACCAGTCATTGTGAAGGTTTTACCGCTACCGGTAACACCATAAGTAAATAATAAACCATTTTTACCTCTAATCAAGCCCTCCACGATCGGTAAAGCAACTTTATCGAAGACATCTTGCTGCGATGTTTCAGGCGGGAAAACTTCTTTAAAAGTATATTTCATAGTCTTCGCATTTTCGTTTCTGTAACTTATAGCGGTTGCTGGAGGAGATAAAAGTACTGTAGTAGGCGAAATTATCTTCACACAGGGGGCATCGGTGTCTCTCTGCATAGGTCGTAGCCTGCAGTATACTTGAACAGGATCACGCTCGCCAACTAGATTTTGTTTACTTCTAGCGGGCGTTCTTAATTCATTTAGTCTCTGTTTCGACTTGGCGGACTTCATTTTAAACGTATTTCGATATCACAACCACTATCACAAAATTATATTTTCAACGGTTTGTACAAATCAAAGCAACGGTCGTTCATGAATTATCAATATGTTACAAACATTTCAATTATTAAAATGCGACATTCGTTGTCTCTTTTAAACAAGTAGCGGTTCCCTATTTGTATCGCAAATTGCGGTTGACAACGCACAACGTTAGTATTTGGTCGGTTAGTAATATTAGGCCGTTCCGTTCGGCCGTTGGTTGGATATTTGACAATTCAATGAAAAAATGTTGCCATAAAACGCATACAGATTTCCCTAGGATTTACGATTCTATTCAACGACACGACAATTCCTTTTGTTATGATAGTGAACATTAACAATCACACATTAATTTATAAAGTATATTTTTGTATGTATGGAAGTGTACTTTTGTAAGAAGACTATTTTAATTCTGTTAGTTTGTTTTAGTTTTACAAGCAACAATAATGATGTAGTTTGCGTGTAGATGTAGTAGAATTTCAAAAAGTACTGTAGAGCGTAAGTCTTAAAAGATCTACAAAGTAATTGTACATTAAGTTATACTGCATTACTATTCTATATCTAACTACTGATACAGACTTTGGGTTTAAATAGATAGAAGGTAAAGACAGGTTTTGTTTGACTTAAATATAAAGTTTTTTTTTTAAAAAGAAAAACCATATATTTCAGATACAATATATAATACTGATGTAAATTATGTATTTTGTTGGATTTTAAAATCGATCGTAAAACTTGTCTTCCTAACGATTCTATTGGTACTTAAGCTATTCAATTTAATTTGATTAAAAACGATAAGATTGGTTGGGTTAAATTTATTTAATATTTAATTTAAATTTACCCAATTTTACTGAACTGTTTTATGATGATGGTATCATTGTGCCATATTTTTTGCTAAACTGTGGGTGCAGTGGGCGTCAAGGCCAAGGACAACGTTTACGTTTCGTTTCTGCGTAAACATTACCTTACTACAACATGATTAACATTTACCCACATTTATAATTTGTTTGGTTATGTAAAGTATTGAAAATAATTAAAACACGTATTTTATGAAATTATTTTAATTACAGGGTGAAAAGTATGACGGTCGTCGTGCTGACGTGTGGTCCTGTGGGGTAATATTGTACGCTCTGCTGGTTGGTGCTTTACCCTTTGATGACGATAATTTACGTCAATTACTCGAAAAGGTACAACATCCATTTATAAGTTAATTGAAGAAATAATGTGATTTATCTGTGAAAATAACATGTATTACATGTTTTCTGGTGAGAATTGAAACACGATAAATCATTGAAAATATTGTATTTGTTATCAGCGCCACCTAACGAAGACTATGGCAAATTTCCACTTTTATTTCTATTCAGACCAATATTGCCAGCTTTTGAGTTTTTCATCATCAACAGCCTATAACAGTCCTTTGCTGGACAAAGGCCTCTTCTTAAAAAAGAGGTTTTGACCTACTATACCACGTTGGCCAGACGAGTTCGTATAGCGTTTGTTTTAAGTTTTCCTTCTCTTTGCAGTGCTGTTGTCCTTCGGAACTCCCTTAGTCCGCTCTTACGACATACACGGGATGAATGGGGGTAGTGACACTCCGTATTCTTAATCCGTCACCACACGGACGAGTTTGTTGATCATTTGAGTTTTTATGGGCTCCTGTTTTACTGTAAATGTATAAATTTATATTTGAGTGATCTCTTAATTCTATTTCAGGTAAAACGAGGTATTTTCCACGTACCGCACTTTGTTCCGCCAGACTGTCAACAGCTATTGAGAGGGATGATAGAAGTGAACCCCGAGAAAAGAATGACGGTAATAATCATACTTAACTGAAAGATCTTAAAGAACTTTTGTTGTATCATATCACTAGCAAAAAGCAGTGCTTTAGGAGGGCTCATGAAGTTTTCTACCCAACCAAAACTCTGTTGTCGAGTATTAAAGGCTGTTGATGACATCAGCCTCAACAGCCTTTACTAGTCCACTGCTGGACATAGGTCTCTCCTCAGAAAGGAGGTTTTGGCCTACTATACCACGCTGGCCAGACGGGTTGGTATAGGATTTTTTTCAAGCTTTCCTTCTCTTTGCAGTTCCGTTGTCCTGCGTAGTTTGCTCCCTTAGTCGGCTCTTACGACACCCACGGGATGAATAGGGGTGGTGACACTCTGTATTCTATTCTGTTGATAATAATTAATTATTCGTTATTTATTTGCGCTTAACAAAAAATCTGCCGTATTTTTAACAAAACATTCTGTTAACATCGATATTAGTTCTTTAACATTGTAACAGATGGCGTTAGTACCAACAGTCCAGTTGATAACCTATTGGTTTTATAATTTTGGACAGAGTGCGTTAGTACTACAATAATATTCTAATTACTAAACATTGACTGGGCTACTAATTATTGAATTATTGAACTAATTATTGAAAATAATTAATGACATTAAATTGTTGAACGATTTACCATAGCTTATTTGTTTTCAAGTTGGCAGAAATCACGCGACATCCTTGGGTGACGGCCGGCGGCCGAGGCGAGTTAGAGCAGGAGTTACCGATGATGGAAGTCGTCCAGACCAGGGTGCTACCTTCGGCTGAAGCCATCGACCCTGACGTACTCCAGGCGATCTGCAGCTTAGGATGCTTTAAACAGAGAGACAAGTTAATACAGGAGCTTTTGAGTGCACAGTAAGTAACTATGAAAATATTAATAATAATAACTACACACATCTCACACACGGCAGTCTTAGCCAAAACTAGGCAGAGCCTGTGCTATGGTAACCAGACTGCTGATAAACATACTTATATATTACTAAATACATACATATTAGAGATAAATTACACCCAGACACACACCCAGTCGTGGGTGAGCAGTGAGGAGTCGAGTATTGATTGATATTATTAATAAGAACGTTTTAAGTATGGATACCTAAACAGCAATCCTTATCTAAGTAGTAAGTAAGTAATATATGTATCTATAAATATATGTGTGTGTGTTTGCGTAGTATCTATATATTAATATTTGAGGAAATATGAGAGATCCCAACTTTACTTCAACTTAATTCTGCGAGGGGGAACTCAAAAGGCGTCATTCGGCGTTAATGCAGTTATGTATTTTTAGTCTTCATGCACAAATTACAAATTAATTGTACAATAGCGGACTTAATGCCACAAGCATTTTCTCTCAGTCAACCTTTAGGTGGTGGGGAAGTGTCTGAGTAGGTGTACTAGTTAGAAATTAAGTTTTAGTGGGACAGATATACATACATATACTGAAATACACATACGTATAATATACTTGCTAAGTTACATATATACACAAATCATATATAAAATTTCCGGTAGTGATGAATCTGCTAGGGTGTCTAAAATGCGAGCTCGGAGTTATGTCTTAAATGAGAGGCGTCTGGGCTATCAAGATTTCGAGAGGTAGAGACTTATGACTCTTGTCCAGGTGTCCATCGGTGGCGGTAATCACTTAACATCAGGTGACCCGTTTGCTCGTTTATATCCTATACCTACCACAACATCGAGCTCGTAAAAACTAAATAAACTGTTTATAAGTTTAATTTTTAAAATTTTAAATATACTGCTGAAATTTAGACAACCTTGTAATCGGGGCTGGATTAACCATTAGGCAGAGTAGGACATTGCTTAGGGGCTCCGCATCGGTTATGGATCTCGTTTCTGCTGTTAGTTCCTAAGGAGTAACGCATCAGACAGGTGATGGTGGTTGCTTTGATGATTACTCACAACCCTTCATCGATTTACAAAGAGTTAATTCTTCGAACAAAAAGGGGCCCCTAGGATTGCATCGCCCAAAGGCCTCGACTGGGCTAATCCGATCCTATAACGCGATGTTCCGCACCACTAAGGTGTCAGATCGTTTTGGGGCCGTAACGTGAGTAACGCTCGTTGCAGCCACAACACGGAGAAGGTGATATACTTCCTGCTGCTGGAGCGCAAGCGGCGGCGGCCGGCGCGCGACGACGAGCCGCGCCCCGCCGCCCCCGCCGCGCCCCCCGCCACGCCCGCCGCGCTCGACCCGCCGCGCAAGAGGCTCGACACGTGCCGGGTGAGCCACTGCTACACACACACACACACACACACACACGCTACACCTCACTAATATTGCTACTGTTCAATCATTAGCATTCAATTAAATGATTAGTTTTAATCACAGTGATTTGAAATGTGATTATGATTACATCATAGACAAAAATGGCATTAAAATCGACCAAAACTCTTTTCATCAAAGATTACGACCTTTTTTTTTAGATTTAGACTTCTCGTAATAATAATAAATAAGAAGCAGTGGTTTTGTTAACCAGTCACAGGGGAGACGATATGTTTTATAAATCATATGATTAATCACATGTGGTTGTGATTTTGTGCTATCCCTAATACACACACTCACAAACCGTACTACAGTGTTGAGATAGTCATGCTTCGACACAATGGGGCGTCTCGACCAGCTCGACCCCGGCCTATTAGAAAACTTCTTTAGGCTCGGCCATTTTTTGAGATGGGAAAACCCATTGAACTCGCGACATTGTTGCTGTAACCGTTACCGACACCTCTGTATATAAGTACATACGAGTATATACTTGTGTCGGCACTCCCGAAGTGCCCCTGTTTTGTATTCGTTGCTTTTCACCGAGTGAATGAGACTACCGGAATCCAAACCTGACTCTAGGGTGAGGAACTCAAAGGATGGCACCTGTGACTCTCAAGAGGCTCTCTCTGCAGGTATCCATAGGTGGTATTCACTTACAGTTTAGTTACTCGTCTACCCGTTTGCCCTCATACTCCATGAAAAAAGTGTTCTATAGAAGTCTCTGTATACCTAATCTAGGGACCTATATGAGAAGTGTCTGTAGATATGTTTTATTGGCCTTAACAAATGTCTTACTGCGGTTGCGGTTTAAACAAACGTACCCAATTACTTATATATTTTTAAATACACACATATTATAAATAAACTACTACACACAAGAAATGTTCCTGCACATCAATAAATTACTGTTCCTCGGTAGGAATCGAACCTGCTCGTAACAAAAGTTCAGGCAAAATTCAGTTCCGATCTACTGACGATCTCACAAAAAGAAGGTATTCTCGTCAATGACGTGGTTTATATATCATTGATTCTCGTAGTAAGGTATTAAACATTCAACGTTTAATGTGATTATATCGTATTGTGACTGAAAGTCGAATCGGTCATCTGCTGGTCTTAATACTTAACTATTTTACTACGAAATACCTTTTATAAAATTTGTGAGATCGAGCGTAGATCGGAACTGAATTTTGAACGAACCTTTATTAAGATAATTGGCTTCTAGATTCTAGCGAGTTCGTTTGTTTGTTACGCTTTCACGACTTCACCACTAAATAGATTTTAAAAATTATTTCACCAATGGAAAGCTACATTATCAGCGAGTAACATACGCTACTTTTTATCGTGATAACCGCAATACACGAGGGCGCAGCCGCGGGTAAAAGCTTGTTTAATTTAAAATATTGTTGTTTTACAGGTAAACGGTCAGTCAGCTCACTTTGGACAGATTAGTGAAGGATCGCCAATCACTCCAAGAAGATCACAATACAGGTAAGAAAATAATGCCTTTTCTATTAAATACTACAAATTTAATTATTTTTGCGCATTAATTAGACTACGATAGAATATCAAGTCTATGGTATCTCCCACCAACTGCAGTTTTTCTTTTCGAAACATCAAATCAAATTTTGCCTCCTAAAATATTATTCCAACTGCCTATGTATTCATTAAAAAACGACATAACTTTATTTTGTAGCTCCAAATTTACCGTTTTTTTTAAATATCGTATCTTATTATTTCGAATTGTAAAAGGTATCGGCCATTTTAGGAGTACTTGCACCTAAAATGATTGCTATAAATACTTGCAGTTTTGTTTTTATTGTTAAAAACATTACACTGTAATATTTGTTTATCCAAACTCTAATTAGTGTGAATTTTCCCGACAATACTTACTTAGTATCGACCATATTTAATTTTTTAACATTTATGAAAAAATATTGTAAACTTGGAGAATTTTAAGTAAGTTAATGCATAGATAAGATATTGATGAATAAAAAACTAGACTCGATATGTGCATAGGAAATCATTTCTTAATTTCATTTAAATAAAAGCTATTATATATATATTAAACTTGAGGCTAGAATATATGACTACAATAAAGTTAAGGAGAAACATCATATAAGTTAGTTTTATGCAATGGAAAATAATCCTTATCACGCTTTATATAAAGGCTTTTACATCTTGAGGCTGTGTCCTCGAGTTAGGTTTTATATGTAATGTGTGAGTGTATGAGAACAGGATTGGTCGCAGCAGGTCTGCGTCGGGCCGCCGGGCGGAGGGCCGGAGTTCCCCGCAGTTGCCAGCGAGCCCTCCAGGTATGTTTTGCTTTTTAAACTATCTCCTGAAATAACAGCAACGGGACATGACGGTCAGAATACATAAAATAAAGATTGAAATGTAGATTTTAATGGATTAAGATTACTGTGCATTGATATGGTTTACGGCTCGAGCAAACCTAGTGATCAAAGCCGCTATCATTTGATCGCAAGTCAGACTCCTTAATCATTGCGCTAGCTACCAGTAAACGCTAAACGTCATAGTAGACAATTACCAACCTATAAAATTGGCAACACCACTTGTGGGCGTTCAGTATCGCCAACGCAAAGGAACTATCCTACTAACTACATCACTATAGTAGTAAATATATACATACATAAATACAATTAAAAAATAACCCCCCCTTTTGGCGCAGTCGAGTAAAAAGTTTACCCTCATGATTTCTGACTTTTAATCCTTTCTTTTTCATTCTTGATTGTTTTTACCAAGCTTGTTGCTATGTTGCATAACTTACTAAATATTAAAAAATATATCTTTACGATATTTTTTTTATGTACAATATGTACGAGTATGTATTTACAAAATGAGTGCGTTATTATTCTTTCAGTCAATCTATCTTGAAACTAGATGGCGTTGTGTGTCACATGTCCGAAAATATTACTTTTATTCTGAATTAGTATCTGTGTAAAACGACTATGGCAAACGGACAGACAAACAAATATTTAAATGTGTTCTCAGGAAATGTATTTTTTTTTGTATTTTCATGCAGCTGGTCATACTCCTCACCGGGTCTCGTCCTTGGGAGGCACTCCAGCAACGCCGGGATCACCTTTAGGTATGTACCATTCACAATATAATTACGAGTATATATATAATTGCTACCACCTACTTTCATTCGTAGGGTAGCCGTCACAACCAGAGTGATAACACGGTCTCACAGAAAACTGCTGTTAACTAGCGCTATTCACCTAGTCAGTGAGGTTACCAGTGGTTCGACCAACCATCCCCTAATTCTGGGTGCTCAGAGATTGGCAACCCCTTGTATCTGTTAGAAGCAGGTACCCACGAGGGCACCAGTCACTTCCCATGTGACCCTTCTACGGGTTCACATTAATTTATCAAAACAACCTTAGCTTTCATATTCTATCTTTTAATGGTTGATATTTTGTACATTCACAGCATCTCCATCTGTACGAGAACATCATCACCAGCGAGCCAACTCAACAGGACCCACAATTAGTCTTAATATTAGTAAGTTATAATTCTACTTCGATTATTTCGATTTGACCGCCAAGCCGCTAAGCCAGAGGTCGTGGGTTCGATTCCCATCCAGGACAAATAATTGTGTAATGAGTACGATAACTTTTTCTATGTCTGGGTGTAATTTATCTATGATATGTATGTGTTAAGAGTATGTTTATCAGCAGTCTGGTTTCCATAGCACAGGCTTTGCCTGTTTGGGATCAGGGGGACGTGTGTGAGATGTGTGAGGTTATTATTAGGGTCAGTCGCCCGCCCGTGGAGCGATGTCCAAGTTTTGGCCCTGATGGGTCACACACTTTCACATAAGTACATATTTCTTGTTCCTCCTCCTTCTAATTGTGAATTTTAGTGGAAAAGGTCTAGGCACAATTTTGTAGATAATTGTGTGATCTACATTTATGTCTGATTTATTTTTATGATAAAACTAACCGATTCGCAAAAAAAAATCATTTTTGCAAAGTTTGACCTTGCATAAAAAATTTTCCACACGGGGTATAGACGGGGACTTTTAAGAATTTCATTGTGATGTTCATGCAAAATTTAGCTTTTTGGGAATTTATGCAAGGGTGAATGTCTGTTTTGACCGGACTAGATAACCAGTAAGCGGAAATGATAAACGCCCTATTATTTTTTTTTACGTTTTTTGTGAAATTTTAAATGTTTGTGTGTGTATTTGACTACACGGATGGCGTAGTGTTTAAGCGGTCGCCACGTTGCTTCGTACTACGCTGAGTGTTGTGGGTCCGATCCCCACATTGCCGTACTGTGTCTGGGTGTTCTTTGTGTCCGTTACGTGTATGTTTATATAGTCCCCCGCAACACAGGATATATATTAATACTGCGGAAGTTCTTTTCTAAAAGAAAATAAAAGGAAAAATTGTATGCCAAAATAAATCTTTCTTTCTTTCAACCCAATCAGCTGACTCTAAAAGTCTATGAGCGGCGGCAGTCACTCAGCAGCTGGTGACCCCTCAGTTCGTTTGCTCTACACCATCAATAAAAACTTGTTGGTGGCAAATAAATACACGGCCAGTCTGATAATTAACTCTTATATCTTCATTCAGGTGGTGAGCCGGGTGAAGCGGTGATAATAATAAATGAATCACCAGTGTTGGGGTCTTCAGTAGCAGTTCGTCCTCACAGCCCCTCGCAGACGCATAGAGGTAACCCACTTTTATATGAACCTGCCTGATGGTATCTTACGCTGTAAGTGCTCACGACAATAAAGATGTAAGGAGCCTTCTCTTGGCTCTCTTAAGGGTTCCTTGCCATCACCGAAAAGAGAATTGGTACCTTTGCTTAACTGGAGCAGTTTCTACAACTGAGGTGGCAAATAATTACAGGGTTTTAAGATATTTTAGGTACTAGATTGAAACTAGTTCACCATACGTTAAGGGTTTGCTGAAGTGTGATATTTTGTGACAAGGGGTGGGAGGGGTTCTAGGTTTCGTGACGTCAGATTTCAAAATCTAATAAATTTCTAAGTACTATCACCTCGCCTGGTCGGAGGATCGTCCCTTTGTGTTGGAGGGACATGACACCCGGTGCTCCACAGTGTATATTGTGTATTTATATTCCAGTAAGGGAACGATCTTCACTGCCAGGACCGCCGAGCACCACGCAATCGCCACAACCTTCGCTATTCCCCAACCTAGGAACTATTACAAGTACGTAATATCTTTTGCTTTTATTGGATGCTTTATGTTATAGGGCGGGGGCAAAGGTGCAGGCGGGGCGTCCGATGGTAATCAGGCGCCCCGCCTGCTCCTTGTCACCTACCGGTAAATTTAGTAAATTTTAGTAAATTCAACTTTATTCTTCCCGTGGGTGACATAAGAGCTGAGTAAAGGAGCAAATACGTACGAGAACAGCACGGGAAAGAGAAGGGAAATTAAAAAAAAAACCCTATACCAACCCGTCTGGCCAGCGTGGTATAGTAGGCCAAACCCTCCTTTCTAAGGAGAGGCCTATGTCCAGCAGTGGACCGTTAAAGGCTGATGATTATGTAGATAAATTACACCCAGACACAGAACAAGTAATCGTGCTCTTCACACAATTGTTTGTCCTGACCGGTAGTTGACTGCCTCGGTGGGTTCGATGTCCGGGGGCGGACTGGTCATGCTTTGAGCCTGATGTGAATACGCAGCTTTTAATGACAATGTACAAAATAGGTATAATTTGTCGCGCAGGCAGGAATAATGTACAAATGTCACTCACCTACCAGCTGCAGTATACGAGTAGAAACCATCACGATTTCTTAAAGTTTTATATACTATCAATGTGTAGGCTTATGTATGTATGTAACTAGGTAAGTATTTATGTATGTGTGTGTATTAGCTACGATTGTATGTATTTATCTCATGTGTTCTGTCTCAAGTCTCACATATCAGCACCACCCTTAGGTAGACTGGGAGACAATGCCTGTGGCATTAAGTCCGCCATTGAACAACCCACACTTGTGCATAAAGTATTAAAACAAATAAGTATTTTTATATATATTATATTAATATTTTTCATTATTTTTAGGTGTAGCTCCAGGGTCTGGTGGAGGTGCGGCAGCCCCATGGCGCGTAAGACTCGCCACCATCAAGAACTCGTTCTTGGGTTCACCGCGGTTCCACAGGAGGAAAATGCAGAGTCAGTATTTTTATCACACCAATATGATAAAGGCGAAAGTTTGTGTGTGTTTGTTTGTTACTTCTTCACGCTCTAACGGCTAAAAGAAAATTAATAAAATTTGGTATGGAAGTAGCTAACATCCTAGATTAATACTGTTAGGTATCGACACAAGGGCAAGTAATACGACCGCCGGTTCGCTATGCACTGGTTTATTCTAGAAACAATGACCGGCGCTCACACTTCCTTCTTCCCCCCCCCCCTCTCTTACTTAAAGGGCAGCTCACTCAACTTATGTCTAGAGTTGCAGGTGTCCATGTGCGGCAGTGGTCACTTACCATCAGGTGACCCGTCTGTTGGTTAACCCCCAATACAATTAAAAAATGCGTGTCCGTGTCCTCGGGATTTTTGACTATCCGTATATTTACATTACAAGCTGATGGTCCAATGTTGAAAATGTTCTATCACACACACACACACACACACACACACAAGCATGCACGCAGGCACGTGTTTTTGTATGTGTGTGGCTGTGTGACCTGTCACTAGAAATTATATAATACTAGTTTTAACCGGTTATCGCGGTACAAAGTAGGCTATGTTACTCGCTGATAATGTAGCTTTCCATTGGTGAAATAATTTTTAAAGTCGGCATAAGTACATACATACACGAGCAAGTTAAAAGAATTTTTAGTAATGAAAGCATACTATTCTGTAACTGAGTTTTTAACGGAGAAAATATAATGGAATGCATGTTTTTAATAAGTACAATATACCCTCTATTAATACAGTTTTTTAATAAATGTGATACATTATTTATTACGATTATGACATTTTTTCTTTTTTCATAATATAATTGTAATTGTTATTTTAATTGATATTGACATAAAATAGAATTCTGACCTCGTATGATGTATTAAATAAGCCCAAACTCGTTATTAATGTTATCTTATTGCATGCCTAAAGGTAGGATGTGGCAGAAACATTTATTAAACTGTAACACCTAATTGTAAACCCATGTTCGCAATGAAAATAAACTGATTGATTGATTGTTTGTTAAGTGGCGTAGTCGTGAAAGCGTAACAAAGAAACAAACAAATAACTCACAACATCCACATTTGTAACATAAGTACGGAGGTATGAATAGATATTTTCTTAATCACTAACAACTCTCTTTCCCTTTGCAGCGTCGTCGGAAGAAGTCCACTTAACGCCAGAATCGTCTCCAGAACTCACAAAGCGTTCGTGGTTCGGATCCCTTCTCCTGTCGGCGGACAAGGAGGAGACCTTCACGGCGCTGGTGAAGGGCAAACCGCTGGCGACGGTCAAGGCTGACCTTATACATGCTTTCTTAAGTGTAAGTGGAAGTGTAGGTTTTTTTACAAATCTTGAACATTTGATGCATTGGCGGACTTAATGTCTACGGTATTCTTTACCAGTCAACCTTTGAGTGATGCAGAGAACACAGAAAGGAGATACATCTTGGTTGAAATTGGTATTGGAATAAACAAACTAAATAATATATCAATTACACATAAATCAAATAAATCTATGATACACAAGAACCTATGCACATTATTAATTTATTTATTTAAAACTTAATGCACCTGTTGGACAAAGGCCTTTGTAGCCTAGTGGACTACGTTGGACTTGCGATCAAGAGATCGTGGGTTCAAATCCTAACAAGTACACTACCCACGTGAACCATCTCCTAACACAGTTAACAAGCAAGGTTGCTAGTAAATTTTACCAAAAAAAAGGCAGACTTAATGCCATTAGGTATTCTCTCCTGGTCAACCTTCAGGTGATGTAGAAATATGTAGCGGTAGGTGCAGAATAAACAGAGACATACACAATATATATACACACACACATACATAAACCTACATAATTTTTATAAAATAAATACCTAAATACTCAGTCGGGTACTAGCTACAACATTATATAAACTACTAACATATAAACTTATATAAATACATACGCGAATAGATACCAATAATAATATTAGATGACAATCATGTGGAAGTGGATTCCGCCAGTTTTTTTACAAAGGACTTTGATTTTGTTTCAAAAAAAAAAGTATTGGTTGACCATCCTGATTTCGATGGGAAGCTCATTCTAAAGAAAAATAAACTGACAGAAAAGAATGAGCCAACAAACTCAGGCGTATGGGAGGGACAAAGAAGAAGAAGGTTATAAGAGGACTGAAGGTTTCTGTCGTGATTGCTACATAAAAGTTGCCGTTTAAATATGTAGACGGTGACGTTGTGTTACACTAACGTTACGTTAACCGTTATTTCCAACGTTACAGATAGCAGAGCTATCGCATAGCGTTCTATCGCCGATGTCGTTTCGTGTGGAGTACAAGCGAGGGTCCAACGCTCCTGTCATGTTTCAGCGGCACGTCAGGTTTCAGGTAATCATGCTGCATGAAATATCTATTCCAAAGGACTGCTATTCCAAAAGTCGCGGGTTCGATTCCCGCTCAAGTCAAACATTTGTGTGCATGAACATTTAATGTTTGATTTGGTCTGGGTGTTTATATGTATAATAAGTATGTATTTACAAAAAAAAAAGTATATATGTATTTATATCAGTTGTCTAGTACCCATAGTACAAGCTCTGCTTAGTTTGGGACTAGATGGCGTTGTGTGAATGTGGTACAATTATTATATTATATTATTATTATTATATATTATTATCTATCAGTACATTGTTGTGTAAGACCTGCGAATTCTAACCACCCTAGGTCACCCAAGGTATTCAAACGCAAAAGTACGTCCATCATGGCTTTTATTTGTATATGTTGCCATATGGTACGTTTATATGACGTTCCAGATGTATTATCCAAAAGCCAGAGTCAGGGGTAGTCGTGTAAGATATAGATTCATGGGATCGATAATGCGCTTCGTAAATGAGTAAGCCAGTTAATAATAATACGTATGTACGAGTATTTTTTTTCATTCCAGGTTGATATTTCAACTATAACCAAGGCGCCCGGTGAAAATGGCAAGGAATACTTATACGCAATCACATTTACGTTATTGTCTGGTGAGTGACAAAGTAAAGCCTTATTTACAGCTACATAAGGTCCTAAGAGCAGATACTTTAGAGTTCGAAAGATCGTTTTCTTTTCCTGGCGAGAGCACTACAGTACCGGTTTCTTATTCTGGGCCGCAATCAACGGATATCGTAGGGATTCGTCGATCGCCAGAACACATCGGTTCGATTTTTTCGCATTGCGTAGAGCTTCGAGAAATCGCCTGGCATGAATCTGATCTGATCTGATCAAATCTGTGTAACGAACGTCGTCTGCGGTATTGCCGACTGATAAAACCTTTAACGCTTAATGAAAAGAGCATAACGGGTGTAGAGAAAACGCTCTCCATGGGCGCAAAAAATGCGTTAGTTTCAGGGAAAAATAGTCACACTCTGAGGTCGGGGTCGGCTTTTCACGCTCCTGAAAAGCTGACTCCGATTTAATTTGGGAAAAGATCCTAAAGTAGGTGGGGGATTGCCTTTTCAGTCTAGTACGACACGGCTGAACTTTGATTTTTCCCGAGTGCTGGGTGATATCGAAGTTCTGTAGATGAACTGTTAGGACTTCAACTACCCGAGTCCGGCATGGATTTCAGGAAAAGCATCTGCAAAAGAATTTAAACGCTTTCGACATTCAGTTATTCGTAGATAAAGGAGGTACTAACGACATCGGTCTGTCCTTTAGGCAACATCCGTCGGTTCCGGCGCGTGTGCGAGGTGGTGCAGGCGGCGGTGTGCCGCGCGCCGGGCGCCGGCCGCGCGGGCCCCCCTCCACCCGCCCTCGCCCCGCGCCGCGCGCAGGAACATACACCCGCACGGTAACGCGCCTCGTCCTCCTAACCCTCACTCTGATTATTCCTATTTACTAAATCATTCATTCGATTACCAAATTTAACACAGGGGAAAGTAGGCAAGACGACACACAAGTGAAAGGGAACATAAATTAAAAAAGTATTACATCAATATATTTTTTTTTTTAGGATCGACACAATACCGAATCCTTTTGCCATCGAACGTGAATCATTGTGTTACGTCTTGCCGTCACGTGTTTTTATCTACACGCCCTAACCCTACGAGCCCTGACTTCACAAGCTCTAAGCCTACACGTTATTCTTGTAACATGCAGTAGTATAATGCATAAGGCGTTGAAGTCACAGTTTAATGGTTGCGTATTCAAAACTCATCCAGTATACTTTTGACATAGACTATACATAGATATACATATACGATACATAGTTACTTCTTAAAAACAAATCAAGTATCAATAAATAGTGTAAATAACAGTTCTGCTTAGTCCCTATTGAATAAAAAATGTAAGTATAGAATACCTTAAAGTTTTTTTATAACCTTCAGCGGTCGGTGAAATACCAGACAGTCCAGAAACCCCTCATCACCAATCAGATCTCGACAGTGACTCTTCAGTTTTCGACACCATCAAGTCTCCCACCAGCCACACGTCTATAGATCAATTAGACCAGGTAACTTCTTCATTATCTATGCAAAACTAAGATGCGAAAGGAAGAATAAAACCAGGCCTAGTACGTATTGGGCCTAACTAAATTGACCATAATGGAGCTATGCTTCGGTACAACTGATCCGGCTCAGTGGGATTAATACCACGGCCTCACAGAACACCACTGTTGAGCAATTCTTTCGTTACTTTTCTTCCGAGCGAATGAGCAGGAACCGGAGGCCCGTACCCGCCCTATACCATAAACGTTATTCTCTTAATATCTCTGCTATAACGTGACTATTTTTAACGATACTTGAATAACAAAACATAATTATAACGTTAAAATAAGAACCTGCTTCAAATACTGTTCTAGAGTCTATTATAATTTACCTCAAAGATTTATTTCCATAAATAAGTAAAGAAATTAATAATGATATGCTTTCAGAACGGCACACATCCTCTCGGCTCCAGTTCTTCGGTGACCAGTGGCTCCAGCGGATACAAAGTAAATATTTAAGCTTTCCTATTCGTTCTATTAAACAGCAGTGCATTTTAAAAGTAAAAGGGCTCTCATTTCTTAGTAACAGCAAATTTGAGTTATTGTCTCTGACCTGCCCTAGGTATTGCTTACACTTCCCTATCAAACCGTATAAGTGCTATCCCCCACTTTATCTCTTGGAAAGGCAGTAGAAGGTCTAACTTTCCCTTTTAATATACTTGGGAGTATATTATACATAGTTTATTTTCCAATCTTTAATTCTCATTATTTTCCAATCATTAATAGAATATGACCCAATTAAGTCAGTGAAATCAAATTGTAGGTCGCACAAGGTGTTTGTTGCAAAATCTTAACCTCTATTATAGACTCGCTGCGCTCCATATAGTGTAGGAGGGCAAACGAGCGGACGGGTCACCTGATAGTAAGCGACCACCGCTGCAAATGGACGTCTGCAACTTAAGGGTCAAACCCCTAGATTCAGGGGGAGAGAAGATTTGCGCGCCGGTAACCTCACTCACTCAATCTCATCAATGCAGGCCCTTTCCAATACATAAATAATGACTTTAATCTGACGAATGACTTTAGAGATAAGCGTAGAAGCGAAAAAGGAAAAAAAATACTATGGTTTTATTTAACTAGCACAGATTGAAAGGGCTATCAGATTCAGATTTATTTATTGCCAAACATAAACCGTAAAGAGCTATGAGCATTACAGGTGTTAAGACATTTGGTTGTCATTTGACAAGTCATTTGGTTCTACTAATGGGCAAGCAGCATATAATAAACATGTTACATTCTAGCCTATAACAAACCATATTTATTTAACGCAAACATCATTTAACATTATTAGGTTTATAAAAAACAACACAACTGTTATAATTTAGTAAACCCTGCATGCTGAAAGACAATTGTAAAATAACGTTGGCGACGAGCACTTGTTAACGTTAACGTTAAAGTTAATAGCTTGGTTAAAAACCACGTTAGCATGCTGAAGTTATTGTTAAATTACTAACTTTAGAAAAATATCCTTAATACGTTTTAAAAGGCAGCTTTACTATCAAAATTATGAAACTTATTCATGATGAAATGAATACTCGAAACGGTGTGGGTTCATTTTTCTGATTTTGTCTGTGTATCACTGTTTGTTGTTATTCCAATCGTGGGTTCAATAAATTGTAGATTATGTAGATATACATTATTACATAACTAGTTTTACCCGCGTCTGTGTTGGCATTAATTTTCGAAACTACGATATCAAAGGGTCAAACCGCCATTGAAACTGTCAAATACGCTAACAGTCGTTGGACTTGAGCAGGGCGGCCGCGGGCGGCGCGCGGCCGAGCCAGCCTCCGCCTCCCTCGACCACGAGATCATGAGCTGCGGCCGCGACCTGCCAGGTACATCGCATCTTTATTATATATCTAACAAAAATATACTTTCATAAAATTCACTAGAATTAATTATTTCTGTATGTTAAGTGTATTAAATTTAATTGTATTAGAATGAAAACTCGTGACTGAGATTAAAGACGGGCCTGTTGGTCTAGCGGCTAGTGATGCCGAGTACGAAGCCAGAGGTCGTGGGTTTGATCCCCCCCCCCCCCCCCCATCCAAGACTATTATTGTATGAAGAGTACCACCTTTTGTTATGTATCTGTGTGTAATTTATTTATAATATAAATGTATTTAGAAATATATAAGTATGTTTATCAACAGTCTGGTTACCATAGTACAGTACAGGCTCGGGGCCACGTGTAAGGAAATAATAATAATATTCTATCACATTCGTCAACACCATCTAGTCCCAAACTAAGTAGAGCGTGTACTATGGGCACTAGATAACTGATATAAATACATTTTTAACTTTTTTGTGAATACATCACTATTATTATTTAACATGTTGTCATTAGATATGTATATATAGATATATCTTATTCTAGATACTTGTCGTAAATTATTGTCTTGCAAGCGTTTATATTACTATCTACACGCACATATAAGTAACATAATAATTATATAATTTAAGCTTGAACATCAATGCATAATTTCCAGGTACCCACACAAAGCGTTCGTCCTCTGAGTGCCGAGACACCACCTCCTCTCCGCGCAGAGGACTGGACTCCCGCGACTCCTCCCTCAAAGATGAGCTCCGTCGCAACAACTCCCTCCGCGACAATCGCCGGGACCTATTGCGGGAAAGGGATACTGCCCTACCTGCGACGACTATCGCGTGAGGTCTACGGTAGCGTGGTGGGCTCGTGCTGTGGTGGGGGGTATATGGTGATGGAGTAGGTCGAAAAATGCAGAAAATGATATCAAAATTAAAATATAACGAAATAGTTGCGCTTTAGGTAAACGGGCTTTCAGCATAAAACCACCTCAGATCCACTAAATACAAATCTTTGCCAAAAATGGTGATAACAAATAATGAAAGTGTTGATGTAATAATACCGTCATGTACAAATTGTAAAACACAGCTTATTTTAATATAAACCATTTAAAAATGTTACCCTTTTGTAAATGTTTGCTGTTTGTATGACAGCTAGTACGTGTTTTATACCCATGCGGCTCCCATAGCGTGGCACAGTGTTGTACTCTCCATCGCGGAAAGTTGATATATCATTAAGACGCACTGTATGTAATCTATGCAGATAATATTTTTGATTCAGTTTCTAAATGAGTTTTATAAAACTGTAAACCATTTTGTATAATATTTAATAACTGATTCGTTTTATTGGACTGTATTGTGTAGGTTTGATTCAATCTAATGTACTAAAATTAAAATATTAATACTAAATTATATTTATAATTTAATTTACTAAATTATTCTATACCAACCCTTGCGTGGTATAGCAGGCCTTTGTCCAGCAGTGGACTATTAAAGGCTGTTGGTGAATAAATTATTGTCAATGATCCGTATCTTTTTAACTGATTTTAAAAAAGATAAAATGTTTTTCAAATCGGTTGTATTTTTTTACCCGACTGCTCCAGGCAGATAATGTTTTTTGAGTTTATGTATATTTCTTTAGGTTCACTATGTACATTACACTACCCATAGCTAAAAATGAAATGATAAATTTTGTCGTTTGGGTACATGAAAATTATGAAAAATCTAAATGGCGGTTTTTGGCACCAAATTATCAGTTATTTTAATGTAAGTGACACTTTTCTTAATTTAATTATAATACAATCCTTTTTCATACAAATACATATAATATTGTCACCGCCAGCCATTTTCGTATCCCTATGCGGACTACCCAATACCGGGATAGTTCGCGCTCCTTGGGGAGGCCTTCACTCAGCAGCGCATGGCAATAAGCTGATGATAATCCGTATTATTGATTGGACTAGCTTGTGTATTGAATCATTCCTACACGATAGGCACACATCAGTTTTATTCAAATTTAATTTACAAGATTTAACGACGAATAACATAGCATTTAACAACGTTAAATAACGTTAAATAATTTCATTTCGAAAAATCAAATAGTTATTTCCTATACCTATTATATTTGTGAACATTTCATACATTGCAGTTGCTAAAACAATGAGTTTATGGTACTTTAACGTTATAAAACTTATTTAGAACTAGTGTGTTGTGTACAGTTAACTAAGAGTAAAGGAATGATTAGGTTGTGTTAGAAAAGAATTTGGATACAGTTCTATGTAAACTCCTTGAAGTGAACAGAACATTGAATGATCAGTTATTAAGCATTTATTTGCACTTCTTTTATGTCACGCTCGTATTTCCAAAGAGGTATGCAGAGACCCCCACTTATTAACCAGATTCAACCCCACTTATGTAATAGGATGCAAACCTATTGCCGTCACACAACCGTCTCTATCGCATACATCATGGAGAGTGCTCCGAGGAATTGTTCGGACTAATACCAGCTTCAACTTTCCGCCATCGTTCCACAGGACAAAATTTTCATTCCCACCACTTGGATAATTGGCGCTCCACCACCGTGCGCTTTTCAAGACACTTTTGCCTCATTGCAATCTGTGGAACAAGCTAACGTCTGCTTTATTTCCGGTTCGATGCGACCTTTGACTGACCGCTTCTGACTTATAGGCGGCGGTAGTCACTTTCCATCAGGTGACCCCTACTTTGCCCCTCTTCTATAATAAAAACCAAGCAATTTAGAGATTTGATGTATAAGTTGGGATTATATTAGAACAGGTCAGTAGGTCAGAACAGGCCATCGCCGCATATCGGTCATTTAAACTGGATGTTGCCAAAGAATCCTAACTATCCTAACTAACTATCTCATAACTATTTCTCTTAAATGTAAATTGACTTTAAGAGATCAGTGTATCAAAAACAAAAATTTCATACAAAACATGCTTTTTCGTTAAAGAATAAGAACAATGAAAATAACGATAGCGAAAACGTGAACAGTTTTTTCAATACTTCAAGGTGTGTAAATAGAACTATACGGTAAGGTGCACAAAGTTTGATTAGGAATATGGAGATGATTTGTTTTGGAGACTGCACTTCCAAATTGTAATAAAGAAAGTAAAAATAAGTATTTGTATATGTAATAAAATAGTTGTCACAAAGCTTCCTTATTAACACATTTTTCAAAAATTCAATTAAATAACACATTCTGCGAACTTACGTTTCTTTTAATTCATTTTTAATGTGATACGATATGAATGTGAAAAGGGTTTGAAATATTAAAACCACAGAGAACGATAAAAATAACGTGAAATATTTAATTTAATTTATTTTGTGGAAACTAAAATATCATCGTTATTTTTATTAGTACATAACGGTTAATGCTAAATAAAGTCTGTAAGAAAACTGAAATCCGTAACGCAAAAGTTTGAAAAAATTTGGATTTTTAGTAACATTTGCGAAATGCGAATACAAAAACATTAATAGGTATGTAGCGAAATATGTTTTTATAATTATACATATAGTTGTACTTAGTAAGCTTAAAATATGTGTTAATTTTAATTAAAATAAATAAAAACTTATATAAAAATAATGAAACCGGCCATGTACTTTTTAAAATGTTGAAAAAGCTACCCCCGTTGTACTGATATTATGCTAAAATATTTAAAAAAATTAGTTAAGGGCTGAGATGTATGCTGTATTTTTGCAAAAGACGTATATAAATATATGTATATGTTTGATGTCCCTACATACTGCCATAGACGCTTACACTAGCTACTTACATCTATAAGATTGTACTCCTGTCCTTCACAAATTTTGCCTGACGTTACAATTAGATGACACAAGTTATTTTTTGGTACATTATTAAATTGTTTATTTGTTCTATAATTGTATGTTACATGTCTGTGGGTAAAACTAGTAACCTGTGGATGTCTGACCAATGTAAGCTATTTAGTAGTTTATTTAAATATATAAACCATGATATTAATTGATATGAACTACATTGATCATTGCTTTCGATAAATATACAATTGAGCTGTGAAATTTTGCTTAAGACCCGATGTATGTTTGGGGACCTATGTGTGTCTGTCTGTATAGTTTGAAATGCACGTTATGGTCACAAGTATTTTACGTAGCAAATATACAATTGAATTATTTTACAATAAAGAAGCATTCCCTCTTTGCTTCAAGTATCAAATTATATTAAATTTAAGTCTAGTTTTGTTCTGTTTGTAAATTATTGTTATACATTTGAGTTTATGTAAATAATGTAAGAATATTATTTAACCACGCTAAGATACCTTGTACCTACACTGTGTCTAGTTTGTGTTTTTCTCTTAAATGTCAGTGGGACTTCTATGACTCACTTAATTATGTAGTATAATTGTGTGATTTGGAAAGATATACGCACAGTACAGTATCAGAGTCAAAATTAACATTTGGTGATTGCTATTTACAAAAAAAACCTTAAGTATTTACGAAAGTGAAACCGAACATTAATAAATAACAACAATAACCAATAAGCTTTATTGTACACCAAAGCAATATTCTTATATTTTGAATATCATTTCCTTAAAGTTACTAAAAGAAATGCACCAGGACACAAATGAACACCTGAATCATTACTTTTATGAAAAACCACACATAATTTTCAATTGTCACATATTTGTGACAGTGTGATGTTCAATATGTTAAGAACAAAACCATGTTTATCAATAAATAATTCTTAATTAGAAGAATGTACAAACTGATATTAAAATTTAAAAAAGATAAAAGGTAATAATTAACATTGGACTTGTTCAAATCAAATACATTTGAAAAAATATCAAATAAAATCTCATATTGTATGTAGATAGGGAATTTGTATAGTATTATAAAAGGTCAAGTGTTTTTTAAAAGGGATTGTAAATTAGCGTGCTATCGCGTTTTGCGATAACAGCTAATAATAGCAGTTATAATTATAAGCAATATTTATCTGTTTTGTTTTTTTCATAACAAAGTTATAATGTGGTTTCAATATGGACGTTCATTGCAGGCACTTTTTGGGGTATAATATGTTTTCGTAACATTTAGATGCGCTCTCTCACGAAGAGCCATCTTACTCTTTTCTTCTCTCTGTTTTAAATAAGTTTAAGTCCTCCCTAAGTTGCTTCATTAATGGGAAACTTTATGGTTATGATTTTTTCCACAGAGGAAGTTTGGTGGATGCCTAAGCGTGGATACGCTGAATATCGCAAGCGTTTAAACTATTGTCCCTTGCCATTTTTATTCTTTTTACAGTTTCAAAATGGCCTCACTTAAAAAAAATAATCTTGACATATTTAATTTATATTTAAATATACTATAAACTTATTCACCACCAAGTAATGAAACTTTTCATAAAGAAATTCCAAAACTTAAGCCATTAGCCTTCATATCGTTCTCACATTTTAACTTTTTATTTGTATTAAAATTATAACTGCTCTACTCTTATGTAGCGGCTACTTAACGGGATTCGGCAATACGGCGAAATTTACTTAGACATCACTATTTAAAATAACACAAGAAATATATACTTTGCATGCTTTTGGACGGGAAGGAGAATAATCCCAAATTAGCACCTTTGCAAGATAGGTTATGGGTATATTTTAAATGTTATGAAAGTGAAATAAATGAACACTCCCAATAACGACTAAATAAATGCGCTTTTCCGCAAAACTTTCAAATATATTTGCTACGTGCCACCATCTCGATTTATGTTTTGCAGTCAATATAGCAACGAGTTAAGTTATAGTTATTTTAAAGTTTACTAGTGCAATTACTGCTGGTTCACATACTACATAATTCAGTAGTTACTGCAAGTATATTTACATACATACCTTCGTTCGTGGTGTATATCTATAAAACTTCATCAACGTGTTTTTTTGTTTATTGCCCAAATTATTAATTTGAAGAGAGAAGCATATAAAGTATATCTAATGTGGGCCAGGATATCCCTCACAGTCGATCCCTGTAGCTGCAACAGAGAAGTATGATTTTAGTTGTAATAAAACTATCTAGTCATCATCGGTGCTAATTTTATGTTCAAAAACTCTCTGAACTAAAAATCACTGAAAATTAGTTTTAAACAAATTCATAGTGGTTTTTAGTTCAGTTTAAAGAGTTTTCGAACAACAAAATTAGCACCATTGTCTAAATTTTAGTCAACCTGAGACTTTCTAGTCCTAATTTAGTAAAATTATTATTATTTGTTACCCTAATACTCAAACGCTACTCAATTTTAAAATGTCTTTAAGTTCAGTTCCAATGATTTTATTTAGCGTCTTTTGATTTCTAGAAACATAATACTTTTTGGTGACAATAAATTTGTTACTGTAACTCTTTGTCTGGTTCTATAACTTAAAAAATATTTTAAACTTTTTTCTTTAATTTATCGAAGTAAAACCTAAAAATAAATAATTTGATGATATCAAAGTTTGTCGTTACAGATTAGGTTCTCAAACAAACTTCTAAAAAATGGACCATTTTGAAGTCTGATAAAAAAAGTATCGTATTTAGAAGCGTTTGAGTATTTAACTGATAGGTGCTTATTTCGTTATTGTTATTTAAAATATTTTCTTTGTTACAATCAAAACATTCGTGAGTGGTATTCATATTTATTTAAGATAAATGGTTTTACTCACGTGCCTCGCCGCAGCGTGACCATTCACTCCTTGAGTGAAGGCTCCCATCAGTTCTAGGCTTAGTCGGTCATCCCCGAATTACACACGTGAGGTAAAAAAACTTTAAACAACGAAAGAAACATCAAATCATGATTTAAAAAAAAGATAATATTTAAAATAACTCTTTCTGTTTATCCTAGTATTAGAATGTTTACCTAAATTATTAGAAAAGTACTTTTTACTCTATATCAAGATTATTTTAAAAATATTTTACCTTGTGCGCAAATATTTTTTTTTTCTATGTTATGTTAATATCATACTATAACCGCAGAAACGTTATTTCATATATCCGTTAAAATAGCGTTTTTCAGTAACGTTATTTACTAACGTCACTATGCACTAAATGACAGTTCTGTCATTTCGTAAACACACTGAAATCTATAAAGAAAAAGTTGTACACCATGTAAGCGAAAATATTCTTAATTTTGTACAATAATTATTTTATATAACAAATGCCTTCATATTGTCAAAATAAGTGAATAATTAAAAATGTCACTTATTATATTTTAACATTGCAAGCAAAATATAAAACAATTTTTGTACTCAGTAATTTTTTAAGAAGATACTGCAAATACATATAATTCCTTGTTCAAGTTGCTATTTATATATAAACATATATATAAATAGGATTTACATTTCCTTTCGTGTGTTCGTGTAACTCTGTAATATACATATTAATTAATAAACTTATTATAAAGTCTTGTTCGGTCGGCGAGCGGAACGTATTCAATAAAGAGATCATATTTGATTTAGTCAATATCGTGGGCTCGTCGCACCGAGATGTCGATAATACTGTAAATTGTTAGAGGAAGTATACTACGCTACGCTATATCGCTATATCCATTCTGTAACTTGCTTAACAAACTTATCGGTTAACATTGAACAAAATAATAAATTTAAAAAAAAATCAATAAAGCCTCTTTTATTGTATTTCACTTAGATTGTTTATTTTCTATGTCTAGATAGAGCATCGCGTTGCAAAAGAACAAAACGTGTTATGTAGCGCTCTTGCACGTGACAAAACCTTCCAGACACTACTTTTTTTTATTACTTAAAAAACACAACTCCCGCACTAGGAATAAATTCTGTGTCGCGGGGGACTTTATAAACATACATTAAACGGACACAAAGAACACCCAGACTCAGAACAACAATTTGTGAATCACACAAAGTGTCTTCCCATGTGGGGATCGGACCCACAACACCCCAGAGTGGCCGTGAGCTGCGTGGTGACCGCTTCAACCACTACGCCATCCGTGCAGTCAAAAAGGTAACTTCAAATCACAGCCGTTCAAAAATAAAACCACAGTTTCTTATAGGATTCAAAGAAAGAAATGAAAACGAGAAAGAAAGAATACAAGAATGTTAATATCATCAAATTTATTTAAACCCTCTTTAAGTAAATATTTCGCTTGTATTAGAGGGTACAATTTTCCCTTTTTTTAAATATATTTGTGTATAAATAAAATACATGATAAATGAATTTCAGACGTTCATGGGCGGCGGTAGTTACTTTCCATCAGGTGAGCCGTCTGCTCGTCTAAGAGGGGACCTTTTACATAAAAAAAGCTTACAGCTTTACAATAAAATAAGTCAAACAAAATAGTGTGTGTACAACCGTATTATATGTTAATGTAAATACTAATTTATAAAATACTATTTATATTCCGGGAAGAAGCCATTTCTATTGACAAGGGAGGTTGAAGTTTGTATAGGGAATCAAGAACCGCGGAACCATTTTACCGCGATAACCGACTAACACGCGCGCAGACCCGCGAACAAAAGCTAGTGTTATTCTATAAATTTTGACCATTACTTATTTCACTAATACGAATTATATTCGATAAATTAAATCCGCTTTCTCCCTTAAGTATTGTACGAGGTAAACGAAGACAATTTCGGCATCAGCGTTGTTGTGAACTTGTACAAGATCAGCGCCAGACACAACGCGCAGACGACGTAGTGCATGCGACGGAGCCTGCGAATCATTGTTTGAATTACTTTATATGTCTCCAGAAACAGAATATTGAATATTGATTGTTAGAATATTGGTGTTAGGAATATAATTTAAAAAAGAAGAAGTGGATACCTGTTCATATGTCTCCTGGCACGAGGCAAGCCGGTGTCCTCCTGTCGCAGCAGATATCTCCTGGCGCCGCGGTGGTAGTTTGAAATGTGCTCCTGCCAACTGAAAAAGACATTCATTACTTTTCATTCATTTATTAGTTTGAAACTAGGTGGCGTTGTGTTGAGATGTTCAAAATATATTATTCATACCAAAAACCGCACGTGAGGCAGGTGCTCAGTTTAAAAGATAATGTGTGGGGACAAGTTGAGGATAAACTTTGTACTGGAAGGTAACCGAATTCTTTCGGCCTCATCATCCATCCGATTTTTTTTTCATGAAACTACCTATCTTACCCAAAGGTCGCGATTTTGATTCCCGTTAAGTCAAACATTTGACATTTGTATGCATGAACATTTTATAGTTTGATTTGGTCTGGCTGTTTCTATGTATAATATGCATGTACTTACATGAAAAAAAAGTATTTATGTATTTTTATCAGTTACCTAGTACCCATAGTACAAGGTCTGTTTAGTTTGGGACCAGATAGGGTTGTGTGAGTGTGGACTGTCACCGGGAGGAAAAAGCCTTCCAAACCGAGCTACATTACATTTTGATTATATACATTGTATAAATTAGAACTCATTATTATAATCAAACCCAAAATATCTATATATCATAAGAATGTTTAAAATCGACTCTAATGTCATAGATCAACAATCTCTGTTTTGTCAAATATTTAGCAAAATAAAAATATACCTATCGATAATCTATTATATATATCTGTGCTGATCTACAATCGTCCGTTACCAAGGGGTTGAGCTTTATGAGAAGAAAGGGCAAACAAACTCACGACAATATCAGATGATCGTATCGTTAGTGGAAATAAAAATCAAAGACTTACTTAACAGCTCTAATGTCAAGGTAGAACAGGTGTCCGTCTGTTTTTTGCAACCTTTCCCGGAGCCGGCGCATGTTGTCGTAACTGAACCTCCACTCATGGCAAGTAATGGTGCCCAACGCGTGGCTCATGGCGCTTAGACGCCGAGCGATTTTTATCAAGCTCACCCTGGAGAAAAATGCATTTTAAGTGTGGTTAAAATAGTTTCTGCTGATGTGTGACAGCGGCTGTGAATGGCTGGCAGCGGATGGATGCGGATTGCCTAAGACCGGGATGGTTGGCGCTCCTTAGGGAGGCCTTGGCTCAGCAGCACTGACCAGCAGGTGAACAAGTATCATCGCTGATATAGACTTTCACTAACTTCGAATCAGGACATCCGAAGAGTGTGTTATTGTAATATGTGTTATTTATGATTGCACGGATGGCGTAGTGGTTTAAGTGGTCACCTCGCCGCTTCCTACTGCGCTGAGTGTTGTGTGTCCGATAAGGGACAAACTCTTTGTGTAATCTACAAATTGTTGTTCTGAGTCTGGGTGTTCTTTGTGTCCGTTACCATGTATGTTTGTTGTCCCCCCCGACATAAGACATATTCCTATTGCGCGAGTTGTCTTTTTTTTTAAACAAATAAAAAATCTGGTCTTTATAACTTGTGTTCGAGAAGTGAGGTAGTTCTGAGAAAGTCGCAACTTAGACATCCTTTAGCTTTCTAAAAGTCTACTTATTGATGGTATTAAAATATACAGATTGAAATATACATACGCATCTTGTAAAAACATATATTTTCAACAAATAAGAAACATTCTGGCTGGTTACTTACGGTTGCTTTATCCCAAACAACGTCATCAAGTAGTCGGCTGTGCACAGCGGTATCGTCTGCATTAAAATCTCCAACATCTTGTAAACGTATCTGCAACAAACTCGTTGCTATAATAACCACAGCTGTTTTGGTAGCAGGTGCACCGTTCCGCGCTCGTTGTGCTATTATGAAAGTACTCGCTTTTGCTGATGTTCAATCATAAACATAATTGCATCGCCCAGCAACAACATTTATGTCACACGTGGTGCGGCGTAAAGTCGATGCACTGTCAACATTTCGGCATGACCGAGATTAAGGCAGCTGCATCAACACAACACACGGATGGCACACAAGCAAATAGCCATCTATGTTTACTTAGAGTAAGTTTAGTATATGAGATGTATTATTATGTAAATAAATCAGTCATTTTGTCCAATCCGACTTTGACTCATTACCCGGGCCCACCTCTCACTGCGGCCAAGACACCTTTAGCCGTCAGTAGATCGGTCTTGTGAGCCTGCTCGACCGGCAGTGAGAAAATCATCTCCTAAACCCCGCTCCCTTCACGTCTCCGTCTGTTACCCTAGGTTTCCAGGCAACAGACTTCCCGCAATATCTATTTATGTATATATATACCCTCAGCGCAGGGTCACATATTGGTAGGGCTAGGGAATTTAGGGATTTAGGTACTTAGGCGTAGGTTACGTACGAGTATTGCTCGGTTCACTACGGTACCCGCTCGATACACGTACTTGGGTTGTATTTTATGTTACACGGCTTTCGATGTTACACGTACGAGTGCTGATTGGTGTACCACGGTACCACCACCCACCACTTGTATAATTGGCACTCTACCACTGTGCGCTTTTCAAGACAATTTTTGCCTCGCACAACCAATCTGTGGAACAAAGTATCATCTGCAGTATTTCCGGAACGATAGGACCTTCAAATGTTCAAGAAAAGAGCTTACTCCTTCCTCAGAGGCCGACAACGCGCTTTTGACTCCTGAGTTGCATTCATATAAAATATGAAATTTACTAGCTATTGCTCGTGGCTCCGCCCGCGTGTGTGTCGGTTATTCGCTGATTTTTTACCAATTTTATATTTTATAAAATATTTTTTTAAATCGGTTTAGTGGTTTAGGGGTGAAAGCGTAACAAACAAACTCACTTTTACATGTTTATAATATAAGTATACTAACAATACTCTATTTCCTTCAAACATGAAAATCATTTTACAAATGGAGCGCCGAAGAATGAACTCTAAGCATATGTTAATACAGATAATGATATGTTTCCAAGAGACTTTTGTAACACTGATAAGTATAATGGGAGGCAAAAATTACCTGTTTTGAAAGCCAAACGCGAAGGGGTAATAGAGCACATTGTCAAAGGGGTAGACAGCGCCACTGCGCAATATCTCTGCGCGAATGTCGGTCCACAGCAGTGTGTGCTCCTCTGATCCGCAGTAGTATACACGGGTCTCCACAGGCCTGTAAAGTGTTTTAGAAAATACGTAAAATAAATAAGCCTTTTATTTCCTGCGTACATTTTACAGAGCTCATTTGATCTCAAGTAGTATAAGTGTTTATATAAAAAAATTTAGTGTGAAAGAAAATATCATAATAATGCAAAATAGAGCTTAACATTAGGGGTTAAAGTATGAAATTGCCGATTTGTACTGAAAAAATTGACACTCGTTTTCTAAGATGTAACATATTTATTTAATCAAAATATATACCATCATTATCTATACATTGCTGCCATCTAAACGAAAGTTCATTTATGCCTTTACGATAGAACTCTGGGGATCTAGATTCGACAAACTATGTGAAAGGATTTTGTACTGCCTCCTGGGAAGTTTTTTTTTTATCGCGTATAAAATAGTCCAAATCATTAAAAAAAATGGTAGTCCGTTGGAGCAAGGTCTGGCGAGTATGGAGGATGACGTATGGTTTCTAACTGCAGCTTCTGTAGAGTTATAACGGTTTCTCGTGCAGTGTGAGGTCTTGTGAGCAGTAATGGTGAAGATGGATTCACGAGTCGGGGCTGTTTCACTGCCAATTTCACCATCATTGTTCGAAGTTCGGCGCAGTAAACATCTGCTGCTATTGCCTGACCAGACCCGAGACAGCTTCAGTGAATAACACCATTAAGAAAACACCAAACAGTTACCATTACCTTTTTATTGGTGGCACTGTTGTGGCGTTTGACCTGGGGTCAGTCTTTGCATTTTTCGCTTACGCTTACGTTAGCTTGTTTGGTGACATCCTCTTGTAATTGAAGTTCATCTTTGTTTTTCTAGAGATATTTTTGTGTTGATAATTCTCATTCGTTTTTAATTAATTTCTCAATTGGTTTGTGTACCTTTCACAGCTGTCCTTTATTCTCCGAGGTAGGAGAGATGCCTTTATAAGTATGATCTGAAAATGTATATTTAAAACTTGTACCTTTTGCACATTTTTATCTAGATTTGTTAATATTATTTATAATCAATTTCATTTTTTGTAATTCCGTCTGGGGATGTTGACGTCCATCTTTAGTTTTTGCGTTTTTTAAAGAAGGTGTTCATTGTACTCAATTTGTTCTCAAGTCTATCAGGAGCTCGCATCTCCCACGCCGTAACCGCAGCCTTTCATTATCATGCGTTCTTCATGCGTTCGGTATGAATTTATCTTTTATTTTCTAAACTAAGTTTATTGACAATCCTGCATTATAAGTGTGATTTTCATTCTTTTCATCAGGTGACCCGTCTGATTGTTTGCTACTATATCATGGAAAAAAACATGTTTTTGGATGGAGGTGTACTTGGATTGAGAAATTCCAACTAACCTATCAGTAGCAGTCTCCCAACCCACGGCCAGCATGTTATCGATAGCAACATCCACAGGCACCACGTCAGCCTTCGCGTCGTTCTTGATGTGAAAGACTCGCAGCACGCCTTGACCGGCCCCTACCACCACGCCCGTTGCTCCCGACAGTCCTTCGATCCACCCGGGGAAGGGTGCACGGTGTGCAGATATCACTGTAGCAAAAATAAATATATACCATAGAATATTCTAGTATGTGTTAGAGTATTCGAACTTTCTAGTTGTTGCCAGTTTGAGTAACGTATATGCGAATCTGGTCTGCTCGAGATATTTTCATTCACCTATTTTTCCGTATATCAACATGCCTTTCCTTCCACCTTTTATTAATAATTAATCTAATCCCAACCTTACCATATTTAAGTCCCAGAGTGTAGTGGTTAACTTCCTAATTTATACAAAGAAACAGTTTCGAAATCAAATCAGTGACACATCACCGCAGCACGGCACAACAGTTTTCTTCATACTCCATAGGTACTATAATATAAAAATATCCTCACCAATGGAAGGTCTGAAAATGGTAACGGAGTACTTCCGGTTTTGCCTCTGGGCAATTACCACTTCCGCCAGCGCCTTTGTGAATACATATGTGTTTGGCTTCGGGTGAATTAATCTGTAACACACACATGTATAAAGATAAATCTTCAATTGCCTGGCAGTCGAATTTCACAATATTAAGTTTCTTTACAGTATTTTGCTCGTTTTTCCACATTACATATCCATGCCAAGATAACCTGCTACGAACAATTATGTTAAATTTCTCAGTACTCGCGCCTTCTGCGTAGAATCTCTCTGCTGAACTTTCATTTCATATTTCACAACTTACAAATTTTATTTAAATTAGGGCCACTTTTTTTCGATTGGCATCAATAAATTTATCACAACATTGTTTTGATGTGTGCGCCAGTATGTGAGTTGTTAAGTACTAAAAGGTAGGGGACGAACATTTTAACTTAAAAAATAGCCTTTGCTAAATTAATTCCAAGCATTCTTGTCTTCTATAAAATCTACAATCAAGTAATGGGCTTTCTAAAACAGACTACGCTTCAAATTGGATTTAAATTTGTTTTTACTTAAGTCTTATATTGTACTTGGGACTTTATTACAAAATCGGACACATTGACCTCGAAATGACTTGTTTATATTTTGGATCCTAGAGGCAGATACTACAAGTTTATATCTATTTCTGGTATTCGCTATCTTTGTTTTAAGAACATATACTATATTTTCATATTTATATAATAACATGCCACTGTCATTATGTTTATTGCTTAAAATTTCTGTCTCAATGTCAAAAGTCGTGCTTTAGCAATATCAGTCAATTCTCTGATTTTGGTTACTGAATAAGCTGTGGGGCCCACTGTAGCTTACATTCTAGTGTTATTACTAGAAATATCGTAATATCTACAAGGTCTAACTCGACATCCTTAATTATTACAGGTTTTCACTGGCCTGTCGTTTGGCGTGGTGAACCGTATACACTTGGTTTTTTGTTAATTTAAAAGCAAATTGACCAAATGAACAACTTTTGAAATGACGCTGTTTACGTCTGTGAAATTAGTAAGTGTGCGTTTTAGTCTAAATAATAGTAAGGTATCATCTGCAAACCACACAATTTCGTGATTGTCCTTGACAAGGTGCGGTAAGTCGTTAATATACTATACTAAAAACAACAATTGGCCGAGAATAGAGCCTTGTGGAACACCCATTGCCACCACAGAACCCAAAGACCGCTCATAATTAATATCTAACTTCTGAATCGTATTACTTAAATATGAAGCTAGAAGTTCCAGTGCTTTACTTTTGATACCTTAGTGCTTTATGATTGGCGTTTCGCGTTACATGAACAACATAATCAAAAGCTTTAGATAAATCGCAAAAGATACCGATAGAATAATAATCGATAAAGATAGAAATATGTGTTTCACAAGCTTAACAGCTCAACGAACATGTACTACCGGAACCGATTGCGGTACACGGTGCCGTTCTCGAAGTTGTTCAAAATTATGTGTACCTCGGGCAGACATTGCAGTTAGGTAGAAACAACTTCGAGGACGAGGTGAACAGAAGAATTCGGTTGGGTTGGGCAGCGTTTGGGAAGCTACGTCGAGTCTTCTCATCGTCGATCCCACAGTGCCTTAAGACGAAAGTCTTTAATGAGTGCGTCCTACCTGTCATGACATACGGAGCTGAAACGTGGACACTTACGGTACGGCTGGTCCACAAGTTCAAAGTCGCTCAACGTGCTATGGAAAGGGCTATGCTCGGCGTTTCTCTAAGGGATCGCATCAGAAATGAGGTGATCCGGCAGAGAACCAAGGTCACCGACATAGCGTACCGGATCAGCAAGCTGAAGTGGCAGTGGGCTGGCCATATTAGCCGCAGAACCGATAACCGTTGGGAAAAACGAGTTCTTGAGTGGAGACCGCGTCTCGGCAAACGTAGTGTAGGACGCCCACAGGCCAGGTGGAGTGACGATTTGCGCAAGATGGCTGGCAGGAGCTGGATGCGAGAAGCCCAAAATAGATCTAAGTGGCGTGCAATGGGAGAGGCCTATGTCCAGCAGTGGACTGCGATAGGCTGATGATGAAGCTTAACACTGGAATCAGTTGTGGAGCGACCCCTTGTAAAACCAAATTATCTATTGTGTAATAAATTATTATTATTAAAAAAACTTTGTAATTGATCATACACTATTTTTTAATGAAATGGATCTAAAGTGAGTAGGGTCAGAAGTACTACCAGATTTAAGTAAAGGTACAATTTTACTAGATTTTATTATTCATCATACCACTATCAACACATTGACATTTTATTAGTAAATGACAATTGATTAGAGATAAAACCAATTGTTTTAGTTATTAATACAGAATTTCCGAATTTCCTCATAGGTCGGTTGTTGTTTATACTCGTAATATACCTCTCTTAGAGTTTTTTTTGTTTTTCTAACGTTAAGTAGTTTTCCAGACTTTCTTTTGTTATTTAAAAATAAACAGACAAACAGTTTAAAACTGTAATGTAAGTAATGTCAGCTGTAACCTTAGTATAAAATTACATGGATCAAATGGTGCATAAAATCGCATTTTTAAAGTTGCATCAGTACCTTGTGGAACTGACTTCAAGGAACTACTGGAAATAAACCGGAGTAATTACTAATTACATTAATAATTACTAGTAAAGTTAAATTATGTCATTTATAATTTTAATTAATACGCACTTGGGAGTTAGTTGGTCTATTGTCTCTGGTGTGAGTGCGTCCAGCACCTCCAGTAGGTCCCTCGGCTGTACTCCCATCTCGTAGACACGCTCCTCCACATCCTGCAGCTCCGCGTTTGTGAACGCCGTCGACACGTGCACCAAAGCCTTAAAGAAATGAACGGTCAGTCGGGCCTGTGATTAACGAGGCCACCAGGGAGGACATCAAAGTGGCCTGATATATATAATCTAAAATGAAAAACTGTACATTAAATTTTTTTTATGTTTTGTACCTATACATTTTTAGATAAATACGGGTTGGCCCTCTAAGAAAAGAGCGTACTCCTTCCTAAAAGGCCGGCAACGCGCTTGTGACTAATGAGTTGCAGGCGTTCATGGGCGGCGGTAGTCACTTTCCATCAGGTGACCCGTCTGTTCGCCTGCCATTCTAACGTAAAAAAAATTGCAGTAGCATGGCTCTCCCAGGATAACTTTTATCAAAAAATCTATATTTATCAGAAAATATATATTTTCAAAGCATTTGGCTTTTCTGATTTCGTAGCTCCCCAAATATACAAGGATTATACGATCTAGGCCGGGTGTCCACGTCTAGCGGATCACGGCCCATTACGATTCATGTTGTGAAGTTGCATATTATACTACACAAGAATACCCTTTGCACGATGTAGCCTTGCTTAGTGGTATGTATTCTGATATGAGTACTTCTGGATGTTTCATTTTATTTATAAATTTTTTCTTACAATATCGCAGAATGATTCTAATGCGATATTGTAGTTACATTAATTCTGAATTACAAACTAAAGTTTCAAATTTTACTAAATCCTATAATTCTTAATTCACTCAGAGCACAATAAAATATATCCACCTCATCAGCTATGAGGTTGAGCGGGCGCAGCGCGCGTCTACCCTTTTTTTTTTTTTTTTTTTTTTTTTTTCCGTGCGGAAATCCCCTCGGATACCACCTGTCGGTGGCATGTCGGACTCGAACCGACTAAAACCGCACGCCTTCGCCGGGTACTAATAGCCGGGGAACCAGGTATACCCTAGAAAGGAAGGCCCTGGTGCCCCGACATACCTCGGGTCATCTACAGACGAGTAGACGACCCCCGCCCCGTGTGGGAACCCCATGTTCCCTGTGCTCCCTGGAAGCGAGCGCGCTTCGCAACGCGCTCGCCGCCACCCCGGCCTGCTTCTGCTAGGGTGACAGATGGCCTCACCTGTCACCCCCAGGCCTGCGCTTATGGAGGACGGAGGTCGTTCTGCGACCTCCGGCGCCTGAGTCGCCTGCGCTGCCTGGCCCGTGCCCGGGCCTGGCGGGCCGGGAGAGTTCTAAACCTCTCCCGGTCCCGCTCCGCCGTCTCCTTCGCGAGCATAACTTGCTCGCAGAAGGAGACGGCAGAGTTCCACGCACTCTCGCTCCGCACGATAGCCGCAATCAGGCTATCGAGCGAGAGAACTCCCACTCCGATGGCCGCCACGAGGTCTCGCCTCTGCTCAACCCACGCCGGGCACTCTGCCAGCGTGTGGAGAGCCGTGTCCACGGTCTGGCCATCGCAGTGGTGGCACTCAGGCGTTGGCTCCTTGCGGATCAGACACAGGTGATCTCCGAAACATCCCTTCCCAGTGATCACCTGCGTCAATCGGTATGAGAGGGTCCCGTGACGCCTCTCGAGCCAATCCTCCATAACGGGTCTTACCGCCGCAATGACGGCGTGCCCAAGCGCGCGTCTACCCTGCCTGGCGCAGTAAGTTTGTTTTCCTGTATGTATACCAAATGACGGCAGGTCAGTAACTTACCTCGAGTGCCGGCAGCTTGTCGCACAGGTCCATCACATTGACAGCTGACGTGACGTTCTGTGACACGGCGACGCGCAACGGCTCCCAGAACTTGACGGTGGCTGCGTTGTGGAACACCAGCGACACCTCAAACAAATGCACTAATATTAATACACACAATATTTTAAACCTACTACCACAATCGTCATCATCATCAACAACAGCCTTTAAGAGTCCGTTTTAGCCTCATTAGAAAGGAGGTATTGGTCTACTATACCACGCGTGCCAGACCAATTGGTATAGGGTTCAATTCAAGTTTTCTTTCCCTTTCCCTTTACCTACTACCGTAATAAGATCGGAAAAACTACAAGAGGTAGGGAATACTTAAGCAGGCTTAGTGAAATTTTTCAAATTTTTTTAAGTGTCTCTTACCATCAAGTTTGTACCATTATATACCATAAAAAATATGTGTAAATACCTCTCTTAGTTGGGCGATAGTATAATCGTCAAGTCCGAGTTGCGGCAACGTGGCGTCTCCAGACACCACTGCCAACTTGTCGAGCTGGTGCGGGTGGTGAGCGCGGATATTGTCGAACACCTTCGAACAATATTCTTAATATGGTATTAAAAACATTTTCTGTCTGTTATTCTCATTCATTATCTGTACAAATAAAATAATTATAATAGTAATCGAACATGAACAAAGATTACGATCATTTTTATTTAGAAACTAGCTGAGACCCGCGGTGTTACCCGCGTTTGTTGTTATAACCGCGGGCAACGCCGCGGGGCGAAGCCTAAGTTACTCCTTATGTTATCAGCTATCTGCCAGTGAAAGTCCCGTCGAAATCGGTCCAGCCGTTCCAGAGATTACCCGGAACAAACAGACAGACAGACAGACAAAAATTGTAAAAAATGATATTTTGGCATATGTACCGTGTAAACATACAAATGCATTTAGTAAAAAGCGGTTATTTTAATATTACAAACAGACATTCCAATTTTATTTATTTGTATAGATATAGATGTGAATATGACCAAATAAATAGTAACTTCACACACCTTACAGTCACACGGCAGTCTGATCTCAAACCAGGCAGAGCCCACGCTACAGTAACCAAACTGCTGATAAACTTACTTAAATATTTCTAAATACATACATATTATAGATAAATTACACCCAGACACAGAACAAACGATCGTGTTCATCACCCAACTATTTGTCCTGGGGAGTAGTCAAACCCACGGCCTCCGGTTTAGCAGTCAGGGTCACCAAGCATTACACCAACTGGCCCATCATGAGATGAGCAAAGAGAATAGATGTCATGTCATGTTCACTATTCTCCTTTACGGGTGTAAAGGACAGGGCGACAGCGATGACAACTCTAGGTGTACAAACCTGTGACTGCTTAAGATGAGCAAGTCTCTTGTGGGCGGATTCCCCTCTCTTGTCTCGTATCAGCAAGTGTAGCCTCCCCACCTCCGGGCATTGGGAAAGGAGACGTTCTAACAGCACCTACACAGATTAATCTGTAAATAACATTAATAATGAAAATTGGCTTTAATTTCTTTTGTAAATACATACATACTTCGAAACAAATATTAATGCAGATCATACAAACATCCGTGTGGTGACGGATTAAGAATACAAATTGTCACCACCCCAATTCATCCCGTGGGTGTCGTAAGAGCCGACTAAGGGAGCAAACTAAGCAAGACAACGGCACTGCAAAAAGAAGGAAAACTTGAAACAAACCCTATACCAACCCGTCTGGCCAGCGTGGTATAGTAGGCCAAAACCTCCTTTCTAAGGAGAGGCCTATGTCCAGCAGTGGACTAGTATAGGCTGATGATGTGTGATGTGATACAAACATCTAATGTTCGACCCGCAGTCTATTATGTGTCGTATTTCTATATTCGAGAACTTCTTTTGCTTTGAGCAATTGATCACTTCAAATCTTAACTAAGATTGTCATAGAACACGATTGATAATGTGGCGGTCGGCGCTCCTGTTCCAACACTAATGAGAGGAACTGTTGCGTCACCTTCCCCATGAAGCCGGTGGCGCCGGTGATGAGCACCTCCCGGCCCGCGTAAAAGCGTGGCAGCTGCGGTGCCCCCGGCTCTGCTGGTCCCACCATCACAACCGTCTGATAACAACACAAACTATTAACATTCTATAGATACGCAATACCCAGACACAAATTATACAACAGGTTACATTGTACTCGCAAAAGCTCTTGGAAAAGAGTGTCCGTTTAGTATTTGGTTTATTTTTCTCCAGGGAACTTGCGGTCCCAACGCCGTCGGCTGTCTCCACGAAAGATGATATCGTTAACACAACTGAATATTCAATTCTAATATTAATTTATGATTTTCTTCAAAAGCCGACCTCGACCCGGCGGCGGCGGCTTGATAACGAGTTAAACTTGTGGCACACTGACCTTGGTGGTGTCCGGGGCTGAGGAAATCCACAACAAAAGTCACTGGACGAGAACAGAAGCCGTGTCCTACCGTTCGGTACACAAGTGTGTCTCGTACGCACCTCCTACGTGTTGTGTGCGTGGGACAATCTCGGCGCTATTTATTAAGTACATAATATGTTAATTCAAGTATGTGCATAAAATACATTGAATAAAAATAACGTGTTTAATGTAAACTTATGTGTGTTGTTTTGTGACTCACTAGCTGTTCTACCCAGTTTCACCTGCATTATGGTTGCAGCGTAAAATTGTTTTAAATTTATTTTACAATGTGGTATCATCAATCAATAGCCTTAAATAGTCCACTGGTGTACATAGGCCTCTCCTTACAAACCTGACTTTGACTACTATTACCTCGCTGGCCAAAATGGTATATTCTTATAAATAAATGTCAGGATTATCTTTCTTTTTCTGTGCGCCAATCCCCTCGGATACCACCCACCGGTAGAAATTGGTTTCTTTTTCATTTTTATGCTCATTGTCTGACATTTATTACCGGCTGCTGTGGGTGGATCGCACTACCAACTTGATAATATATAATATTGCGGACATCTGACACACAACGTCATCCAGTTTCACACTAAGCAGAGCTTATGCTATGAAAACGAATTATTTCACAATATCAATACAAAGTAATTTATTAATAAACATGTTTGTTAAACAATAAACTCATTAAGTATACCTTAACAACTGCTAAATAACCTTTGACTTTGAGTTAAATGGCACTAAAGTATATCAAAGTGATTAAACGTAAAGTATCACAGTGTGTTCTGTAATACGTGAAGAAAGGCCTCTAAGTACCTCATTTAAATATTTTTTAAGATTTTCAAGAAAAGATAAGCCCACAACACAAAAAAGCGACTTTATTTTAATAATGTATCACAGTAACTAATGTATCACATGTAAATATATAATGTATCACATGTATACAGGTGATTGTTATTTTATTTCACCCTTAGGTACTATCCGCTACCGCAGTTCCCTTAATCTGCCACTAGCTCCCCACTCTCTGGTAGCCCGCAACCCTGTCGGCGGGAATGTTGTCATTTAACTTATGTACCCGATGACTTTAATAAATTATCCAAATACCTATGGAATGAATATAATATAATAAGAAATTTGAAAAGCAAACTCAAGAGACATGCACTCAATTTGTGACCACGACGATTCTTCCCACCTTCCTACGAGGGTATGCTTATATTTGCGTCACTAGTCGTGAATGTTAATTTGAGTACCCACATAAATTAACTAGTGTTGAAACGGTAATGTAACCGTCACAATTGTACAATGTCATGGATTACATTAAATTAATTGATATTTAAATTATTTGTGATTATGTGCCTATGTGAGCTTCAATTATAACCAGAATATGTTTAAATAATTTAATTTGAAAGTAGCTGCACAAGGTTTGTTCTCAGATAAAACTATGAAAACACCAATTGTATTAACCTATATTCGCAATAAACTATTTGAATTTGAATAAAATGATCGCGTTGACATAACCCTGAGTGTATATGTATGTAGGTAATTAAGAATGTACGTTGGCGCCCCTTGCAGGACTTGTGCGGTGAGCGCGGCGCCCACTCCCATAGACCACCGTCACCACCACCACTCTGTCGTTCACAGCGTACATGTTGATTGTACAATTTTGTAGTTAACGATAACTAATAACGGTAAATTACCTCTTGTATGCTGCTTTCAAAAATCGGTCTATAATAAATCAATCAGTGACGCAAACACACAAATGTTTTACCTTTTGCTTACCACATAACTGATTTTTTAAATAAATACTCTTGAGGATTATGCATATAGTCTAGTCATCTTAGTAAAAATTAGGTAAGTATTTCGGAATTTGAGATACCCAGCTATAAACTTGTATTTTGACATCCTAAAAGTTGTCTCAAAACATACCTATTGTAGGGTGCATGCGACTATTAAAATATTTATTGCAAATCCTATCAAATATTTCGTTTCCTATGAGTTTCCGCTATTTGTATTTATTATCAATATTGAGATTGAGAATCAGTACGCTGAAATGGAAGTGAAGCTAGACTGGAGACCGCGACTGGGCAAGCGTAGTGTAGGGCGCCCTGCAGAACGATGGACCGACGACTTGAGGAAATGTCTGGTAGTAGATGGATGCGGACTGCCCAAGATTGGGATGGTTGGCGCTCTTTGGGGGAAGTCCTGGTTCAGCAGTGGACGGGGATAGGATGAAGTAATCGCAATCGTAAAAAAAGATAAGTCGTAGATAAGTTCGCATAATTGGACTTACTTCAGTAAAAGCGAGGTCGCAACATCCTTTGAGAAAAATTAACGGGCCTGTTGGTATAGTGGCTAGTGTCCAGGACTGCTAGGTCGGAAGTCGTGGGTTCGAATCTCATCTAGGACAAACAATTGTATGATGAGCACAATCATTTCTTCTGTCTGGGCGTAATTCATAGATACTACTTAATAAAGTACAAAAGAATAAATAAATAAGAATGTAGAATATTTTGAATATTTTGTACTTGTTATGTTTTTAATGTGTCCGTGTAGTGACGTATTAAGAATACGAAATGTCACTACCCCAATTCATCCCGTGGGTGTCGTAAGAGTCGACTAAGGGAGCTAAACAACGCAGGACACCAGCTCTGCAAAAAGAAGGAAAACTTGTCACAAACCCTATACCAACCCGTCTGGCCAGCGTGGTATAGTAGGCCAAAACCTCCTTTCTAAGGAGAGGCCTATGTTCAGCAGTGGACTATTACAGGCTGATGATGTGATGTGTGATGTGATGTTTTTAACCCTGGTGTACAAATATGTACACCAGGGTTTTGCAGACATTGAAAAGTAATTAAACGAACAACACATGTCATGTCCAAAGGGCGGGCTTATAGCTTAGAGCAGGCATTCTTCCAGGCGACAGGGTGATAGGTAAACAGAAATTAGAGTAATAAATAAGGTCTTAACCTATGAAATATTTTTCTTACATAAATTCTACTAATCTCTATTTATACATTAATACTGTACATACATACCTTAATATAAATAAATAAATAAATAAATAATAATATCTCACACATCTCACACACGGCCGTCTGATCCCAAACTAGGCAGAGCCTGTACTATGGTAACCAGACCGCTGATAAACATACTTATATATTTTTAAATAAATACATATTATAGATAAATTACACCCAGACACAGAACAAATGACCGTGCTCATCACACAATATTTGTCCTGGGTGGGAATCGAACCCACGACCTCCGGCTTAGCAGTCAGGGTAACTAACCACTACACCAACAGGCCCGTCAATATACACATACACTGATTTTCAATTATTCACCTGTAGTATGTATGATGTAGAAATATTTAAGGATGTTTATCAGCAGTCTGGTCACCACTGCACAGGCTCTGGTTTAGGATTAGGTGATTGTTGTCATATCAGCACTGGTGAGTCGTTTGTAAAGTCAAAGATAAGATTATATGCAGTTACTACCTGATGTCTCCTGAATCACTTATTAGCTAATTGTTCATCATATTCTACACACGCCTCGACTGGAGCGATACCATGGACTTTGTTCGTCCATTTTCATAGAGTGACTGAAGCAGCCGAAGAAAGTAGAAGAAGGAGTCCTTCTACCTCCGGGCGGTGCAAGAGTCCATAGTCGACGATACTTAGTCACCATCAGGTGATCTCTGATCGTTTGCCCTATAAAATCTTAGCCTTAGTCTTAGCTTCCAAAAAGACTTAAATGAGCTGCACAAATGTTGCATCAGCTTAATGTAGCTAAATGTTTCGTTAATAGTTACACCCGCAAGCCTAACCCTATTGCCTTTCAATACAAACTTCATAAACCTATTATAAGTCGGACTAATGTCATGAGAGACCTGGGCGTCACATTTGATGCAAGTTACTTTTGATTCCATCGTCGACCACATCATAAGTAGAGCTTCAGAAGGCTTTCTGCGGATTTCAAAAATGTCAAAACATTTAAAATCCTCCGGGATGAATGACAGGAGGTGACACTGATCTGCAAAAGTACAGTTGCGGTCAAAAAGGAAATGACCCAGGGTGTCACCTACACCATTTCGTCTTTACTGTGTTGTTGTGTGTTCTGTGACGTCAGGTGTTTAAAGTAACTAGATTTGTAATAGTCTTAATAATGATAACCTCAACATCTCACACGCGGCCGTCTGGTCACAAACATAACAATAATATATTTTTTGACGATAGTCCTATCAGCCCATGGATTAATTGCTAAGAGCCTCAACCAATATCTTCAGAGGCTCGCGTTAGGCACCTGGAATAAGGGATTAATGCAGGAAGTAGTACTTCTTGATACGGCACGTATTGTGAGGAGGTTTCTGTCACTGGAGTCCTCACCACCGGCATCGTGGTCCCTGTACCCGATACCGATGGGACACTGTTTTTTTATATTTCTAAATGTATTTAGCTTTTTTTTTACGAATTACAAATATATTTAAGGAAATAAATACTATAATAATTACTGACATTTCACACACATACTTATATATTATTAAATATATGCATATTTTAGATAAATTAGACCCTGACACAGAAAAAATGACCGTGCTCATCGCACAATTATTTGTCTTGGGTGGGAATCAAACCTACGACATCTGGCTTAGCAGTTAGGATCACTAACCATTAGACCATCGTAACAAAAAAATGTTATTCGATACCATATATATTGAACTTAATATAACAATGTAAACACATCTTGAAGGTGAGGTTTAGCCTACTTTTAATTTTGTAACTTTGAATGTACCCATATCATCATCTGCCTAGCGTCGAGTGCTGAGCGACGGCCTCTGCCAAGGAACGCCAACCATCTCGCTCTTGGACCGTCAGCATAAAACCTTGCCATCCAATTTCTTTAAACGTCGGTCCATCGTGCCGACAATGTACGCACAAATATACTAAAATTTACTACTACTACTTGTCATGGACCTGTATCATGTGGTTTCAGATCCCTCCCGAATCGAAGCCGCGTCTTACTAGGCCCTCTCAAGGAGAAGGCATCGGCTTTCTAAGGCTTGTGGGCCCAGTCACTTTGCGTTGCAGCCCGCCTGCATTTTATGTTAATGCGATCAGGCCGCCGTAGTTATCTTCTATCGCAGCAACTAATCTGTCGACAGAGGTTCCGACTCTCTAGCGACCTACGCTACGTGTTGTGTGGGAATGAAACACAATCTTGAGTGTGAGAGGTTTCTTGTAGGTACAAAACTGATAAGTTGGTAGTTACAGGCTATCACATAAAACCAAATACAATTTCTTCTAAGCTATAATTCTTCAATGAAGGTGCTGCTTGAGACTCACTATGTCCATTTGGGCTTGTATTTGTCGTGCGCGCGCTGGACGTAGCTCGGTGTGGTCGGCTTTGCTGTTGTCATGGCATTGTTGCGCGCACGTTCAGCATCGCGACGACTTTGATCGCCACTAAGCTTACCCTCTTTATAGCCATCGTAAGCCGCGTGCACAATCTTAGAAGCGGCTCGGCTGTCCTTGAAGACTTTCGAACGTTTGGAACGTCCATTTGTGGCAAGATCCGACCGTGATCCAGCGGCGGCGTCTGGTATATCGTTCAATCGTCTAAAATTGAGCACCGGATCACCAGGAATGCATCCACCTTTACAATCGCAGCCGAGCAGGTTACATCTTCCTCTGCCACAGTACGCGCCTGGGTGAACGCGTCCATCGTTACACACCCTCGTTTCACAGCGCGTCGGCAACATCATGCTGGCAACGAGATCTTTCTCAATGTTGTCAGCCACGTGGGACTGATGTTCGAACGGCCAACAGCTGTCTGCGGACCATTGTATGTACGTTGGATGACAGCATTCTCCTCGAACTGTTCTGCTGCCGCTCGTCAGAGCTATAACTACTACCAATAGCAGCACTGCACAACGCATAATGAAAGAATGTTTAGTGCTGGCACGATTGGCGTCTATATACAAGGTAGATATCGTGGGTCGCCCTGGCGATAACCCATTCGTCGCTTCGGATGTATTGTAAACATGTGATATAGGTTGTTCACATTGAGACTTGTGTCAGACGCCCACCCCCGGTGTGGGTACAGGGAATGTACGACAATCGTTTTGAACGCATCAACAGCCTTTAATAGTCCGTGCTGGACATAGGCCTCTCCTCGGCAAGGAGGATTTGGCCTACTATACGACACTGGCCATCATTTTGAACAATCCACAAACATTGTAGTGGATAGTAAATAGTTTTAGATAGTGGTAGTAGATTCTCTATTCCCGACATCTCATAATTTCTGTACGAAACATATTATTTAGTAGCGATTATTATTTGAGTCTTACAGTTTTCCTATATCTAGTTAAGAAGAAGTTTTAAATTAAAAAGTAATAATATTAATTAAATATCATTTATGTATTATTTACTTATAAATAATAAAAAACACAATACAAACGCACCTTGATTCCATGATCTATACCTACAAGGGTGACCACGAAGCACGACACGACATCTCTCTATAATCTGTCCCAGCAAACAATGTCTGCATCGTAAAAGTTTTATGGCTCCCAACATCCAGGATTTGAACATCCTGTGAATATCATTCAGTTCCGTCGTGATGCGTTATCCAAATTTCTAGTTAAACCCACACGGTTTTACCCAAAAAGAAAACAGATAAGAAGTTATTTTATGTTCATCAACGTTTTTTGTTATTTACAAACAAATACAAAGTCAATTGAAATAAAACTATCATCACAATTTAAGTCAAATCAAATACCCCCGGCCCGCATCTCTCCCGGTGCAAAGGTGCCCATGATACCGTCAGCATTGCCTCGCTGAATAAAATACACAAAACATTCACTTATATGTGTAACAGACTGATAGATAAACGCCTCATATAATGTTTAGTTCCAATACAAGTTAACTACGTTATAAGACATTAAAAACACCTACACAATGGCTAGAAAGTGAACCAACTAAATAGTAAAAACAGCTGAAGATAAACCACACGCGGCAGTTTCTTCTAATTATACTTTACCTTAGATTAATAATCTAAGTCGTATACGTTATCTCTATGCATCTTATTGATGGTGTCCGCACCCCCCAGGCTATGGTGGCATAAGTACTTCGGATAGTTTAGTTTTGCTAAGCATTTATTAACGAGGAAACATTTTTCATACAAATCGAGGTAGTCCGACTACCTGGTCAAGGTCGCGGGCTGCATTTATCAATCCATGTCCGTGTATCGACTGAGTGATTGTAACAAAATGAGATAGTGGTGGTCCTCCTTCATAATATATGTCGTGTACTTCACTGCTGAGGGTCGTGACTAAATTTCTTTCTCTTATTTTCTTTAAAGAGACAACTCCAGTATCAGCATAGTCCATAATACATAGCTTGATACCACTGACAGCTAAAAGCTAATCCTATCCTGTATACTAGCTTTTGTCCGTGGCTCCGCCCGCGTGTATGTCGGTTATCGCGGTACAAAGTAGCCTTGTCCTTCTTCAAGAATCAAACTTTCAACTGCCAATGTCCTTCCTCAAGAATCAAACTCCATAGACAATTTCATCTAAATCGGTTTAGCGGTTATTCATTCACCATACAAACTTCCACACTTTCGCATTTAAAATATTAGTATGGATAGCTTTTGGCCGCAGTTTCGCTGTGGATGTCGGTTGCCACTGCTAAAGTGTAAGTGCTAAAGTTTCGGTGTAAAGTTAAAATAGCTGACCCGTGCAATTTCTTTTGCGTCACTAAAGTAATACATTTTGCGCCTTCTAGCAAAAAGGCGGCAAATGTAATGTACAAATAAATTTCAGTCACAGTCAAATTCAAATCAAAGTCAATCATATAATCATCATGATCATAAAATTTACGTCTTGGAGCTTTCCTATAAACAATATTTGATGTAGTTTTATTTTGTGACAGCAAAATAAATTGGTGTTCAGGAGTTCCGACTCGTGATAGGCCACATAGAGCCACATACGCCCATGGCTAAATCATTCTTTTCGTAGGTCAATTCCTACCCCATTGAAAGTTTGTTGTTTTGTTAATTGGGTTTTCAGTTAGGTGAAAAAAAACCTTAACACTTGTGTAATTAATGTTAAAATTAAAAATTAATTAAATAAATAATACATTTACAAGTATTATAATTAGTATCAGGGTAAGCCACAGTTAATGACTTGTACTTATGTTAGCAAAGCTATAGATTTGACATCAAGCTTTTAATCCCATCCACCTGTCAGCTGTTCACTAGCACCATTACACCACTGCATTTTCTTAATTGACAAGAACACAAATCCCGAAATGTCTCTACTGTCTGTTATTCAAACCGCACAGAAGAGTCTGGAAGGAGATCTTCACAAAAATAATTGGTTGAACTTGAATCACAGATACAGTTTAGTACACCAGCCAAAGACACTGTAGGAAAGCTTGCGGAAGAATTAAGAACTTTCCGTAAGCAGATAGGAGTGCACGAAGACTGTAGACACAATTGAGTCCAGACATAGACGCAAAGCACTTGACTTCATTGGAGTTCTCAAAGTTGACACTTAGAACTGTACTGAATTAATTCTGGATCTTCTTGGTAGCAAGTTGGATCTGAAGTTTACAGCTTCAACCATCAAAACATGCCACGGACTTAGAGGCCCCAAAAAAAGATCACAAGTGGCCCTTACTGGTGAGATTTTCTACCTTAGATTTTAAAGCTGCAGTGTGGAAGGTGAAGACTAAACTCAAGGGCACGAGTATCACAGCCAAGGAATACCTAACTAAGGCCAGACAGTCCGCACTTGCTAGGGCCCGTTTGTATTTTGGTCTTAAGGGTTGTTGGCATTAAGGCCCGGATGGAAGCCTGGTTAAGATGTCATCACTGGCCGAACTAGAACCTTCAATACAGTGAAGGGCAGCAGTGCACTGGGTGCCGGTTCCACGACAAATACCACACAGAACACAACCCGTAGAAACTAATCTCAACGTGACTACAGTGTACAGTGTTCCTACAGTTTTCGTTCTATCATCCTTATTATTACAATATTTACATTGTGACATAAATCACAACTTCAACTTCAGCTTTTGGTTAATGGCTTTGTGGTAGAGTGTAACCACAGTTTCGCCAATGTCATGTATTTGAAAGACAAACTGTCAAAGGATTTTATGTAGAGCTGTGGTAGAGCCAAAAAAAATTTTGAGAATGAAAGAATAAGAATAAATAAACTGTTATCTTTCACAGGCATGATAAAACTTAAACTAGTAAAATATATATACAGCTAATAATATATATACATATACAAAATAATAAATAACCAGTAAAACAAAAACAAATATTACACTGTGATATTAAAACTATAATTTAATTTTGTTTAAATCACAACAACAATAAAGTACAATAAAATGAACAATATCCTTAACATATACCCCAAAAGTAAATTTGACTGTCTGCAAATGCTAAAATGTTATCTGAAAACCCTGGATTATGATACAACTGAAAATTTAATGACCATCCTCAAATAAAGCCCTATTCTGAATATTCCCTAACCCTCCTATCAGTAATCAGACTGCACGGATGGCGTAGTGGTTTAAGCGGTCGCCACGCCGCTTTCTACTACGCCGAGTGTTGTGGGTTCAAACCCCACATGGGACGACACTTTGTGTGATCCACAAATTGTTGTTCTGAGTCTGAGTGTTCTTTGTGTCCGTTTCATGTATGTTTGTAAAGTCCCCCGCGACACAGGATTTATTCCTAATGCGGGCGTTGTCTTTTTTAAAGAAAAAGAAAAGAAAAAGTAATATCAAACTCTCAACACAATCTCATGACACTTTCTACATTAGTCACTATCACTTACGCACAATCTCGTGCTCATTCACTCACATATACACACACCCATACATACACACACACGAACACATACACACACACACACAAACAAACACACACACACACATTTCTATTTTCATTTTAATTATTTTTTGTAAGTAAATAATGTTTGTCCTCTTTGTTTTCTCTTTGGTATTGTAATCGTTTTAGTTTGTTTAATTGTTAACTTTCTCACACGGTGTATTGACTGTCTCCTATATCCACGCGGAGGGCCTGGTGACCTTTAACACAGGTTTTTTTTTTAACCGACATCAGGCACCAGTCTTTCACAAATGTGGATTTAAGAAGCTAGCCTAGTACTATGTTATTTTGTTAAGGTATCCATTTGTGAAAAGAAAAAAAAAATATTATTATTATTATTATAGTAGGTAATCAATTTGTCAAACTGTCAAAGTTTGTCAGAGTGTCAATAATAATAATATATTTTACTACATTCACACAACGCTATCTAGTCCCAAACTAAGCAGAGCTTGTACTATGGGTACTAGACAACTGATATCAATACATACATACTTTTTTTTTTTAAATACATACATATTATACTCGTACATAGAAGCACCCAGACTAAATCAAGCTTTATTCATTTAAATTAGTCGAGTCACCATTGTGTCAATGCTCAACACCTAACTCTCACTATGAACAGTCTGCTCATCATATCCTCTGGGAATGTAGTCTTTGGTATAATGAACGTAATATAATGCTGAATAGCTTGCAGGTGACATCTGGGGCGGTATACTATGGGGATCTTGTGTCTGGGGATTAGGGTGAATTTCCATGCGTTTAGGCGATTCTGCCATACATATTATAGAAATCAAATATAGCTCACGTAGGACCCGTAATATTTTGTGGATGTGGTGCTTCCCTGATTAATCCTCCAATTTTCTTCTGATTAATTTCGTTGCGGGTTCCAAGACAGTTTAATTTCTTCCTGGGACTACCCGAGTGTCATAACTCGGTGTGTTCGTGGGTCACTGCTGTGGATCCTGGTGTACAGGAGTTACAGTGGTGGGCGTGTGGGTGGGATTAGTCCCAACAAAAGACCAAATCAAACATTAAATGTTCATGCACACAAATGTTTGACTTGAGCGGGAATCGAACCCGCGACCTTTGGAATAGCAGTCCGTTACACAAACCACTATGCCATCCGGTCGTCAAACAACTGACGTTTACGAGAAAAGCTTCATAACTGATAGGTTCCGTTCTCGTAATTTCTTGTACTGTTCATCGACCGTTCAGAAATCAATAATGTTCTCATAACTGACCTACGTTACAGAATTTTACATTTTTCTTTTCTCTTCAATTTACTTTGTTTATAAATAGTACTAAGTAATAATGTTCTTGCCATTACTTATCAATAAGTGCTAGTGTAATCCGGCGGGTGGTGCATCGGTGTGAGTATTATATCGACTCTTACCATTTAAACATTCTTAGTGTACTCGTACATACTCGTACTACCTTCATATTTTGTATCTTAATATTTATTTATATTCAAATTTGTAATTCATTATTACATACCGCACATGTCTGATTTTGTCTCCTACTACTCCGCCTAACGATTCTATTAACTCAGCAGTTAATGAGAGTTTTACCTCGGTAACTGATACACTCGGCAATATATTTATTTATAATTGTGGTACAATTGAATATTGTATCATCAGCCTATCGAAGTCATAGGCCTCTCCCATTGCACGCCACTTATATCGATTTTGGTACAATATTATTATTATATTATTTATTTATACATCATGCACTTTTGGTGCCTTTGCGGACTTAATGCCTAAGGCATTCTCTACCAGTCAACCTTTGGTGAGGCAGAGAGAACAGGAAGTAGGTGCATTTTGGTTAAAGTTTGATAGTAGTTATAATATCAAATACGCGTACATGAACCTATCATACACTAGAACCCATACACATAATACATACATATACATAAATACATAGAAACTTACATAAATACATACATACCTAAATAAATACCATTAATAACAGTAGATGACAATCATACGTCAGTTGATTCTGCCAGTTGTTTTGCAAAATACTGCTTCACTTTAGTTTTGAATGAGAAAGTGTTGGTCGCCATCCTGACCTCGAGAGGAAGGTCATTCCAGAGAAGAATGGACTGCACAATAAAGGATGAGCCAACAAACTCAGTCCTGTGAGGGGGGCAACGAAGAAGAAGGTTGTTAGAGGACCGAAGGTTTCTATCGTGATTACTACATGAAAGTTGGAAGTAGGAGTTTAAATATGTTGGCGAAGTTGGCTTGTTTAAGATAGAGTATAAGACAGTGAGAGCTCGTAGTTTTCGGTGTAGACGAATTGGTAGCCAATTGAGCTGCGAACGGAAAGCGGATACATGATCAAATTTACGGAGATTGTGAACAAATCGAATGCAGTTATTTAGAAGACGGTCTAATTTATCGAGAAGATCTGCATTCAGGTCATAACAGCACATGTCACCATAGTCGATTAAGGGGAAGATAAGGGATTGCACAAGCATTGTCTTGGTTTTCGTGGGTAGGAAATTTCTTAGACGATACAGATCCCGAAGTGTTCCAGTAACCCTCTGGCACTGATTTGCAACTTGCTCACGCCAGTTTAGTGTGCAATCGAGGTGTAGGCCAAGATCTTTCACCGATTGACAAACAGGTATGGTAGTACCGTTAAAATTGATAGCCGGAAGAGTCCCAATGTCTACTCTGCTCATCAATCGGTGACTTCCAACTACAATGGCTTGACATTTTGTGGGGTTTACGGTTAAACCAAACCTTTTAGACCACTCTGTAGTGTAGTAGTACATATATAATACGTATGTCTATCTTAAGATAAAAGTAGTGATCACTATTGTATTTACTGGAGAATAAATCTGATCGTTGATCTAACAACATCTTTAATTTCTCTCTCGACACCCAACCTTACATGGCGACCCTGCCAGTAAGCGATCAGGTTCGCGTTGCATTCCGATCGCCTAATAAGGTATTGTGATATTAAACATTGTCACAAGTGTAGGGAACGGTTATTTTGTTGCGAAAAATGGGTAAGCAACAGTCTAAGGAAGAACCAGTAATCATCGCACAAAATATCTGTATCGGTATCGGCCTATCCAGGCGTTAGGCTGCGGCTGCAGTGAAGGCCGCAGCAGTCGCCGAAAAATTAGAGGAGGACAAGCGGCAGATTGCGGCTCTAACGAAAAGGGTGACGGAAGGGAGAGTCACTCGCCTGTCGGAGTCGATGACCTCTGCCGTCTCTGATATGGGAGTCGAGGCAGAAGAGCTACCTGCCCCCAACCTAAACGAAAGAGTGGCCGACGCGGTTGCAGCCATAAGAAGGGTAAGCAAGGTCTCTAAAGGACTTAGTGGCTGCAGCCAGAAAGCACTTAAGGAGGCCACGGCCTCTATTCTGGAAAGTGCTCAGGTGCTTTTGACCCGCACCACAACAGAAGAGACGGCGCTGCTGCGGGCCCAGAACGCAAAGCTTTCAGCGCAAATGGCGGAGCTCCGCAAGGAGCACGAGGAGCTCAAGGCGGAGATGGCCAACTTCCGGCGCGAGCACCTCAGGCGGGAGGTGGGCCTTCCACACGCAGCGCCGCAACCGCAATTGCAGTTGCCGTCACAGCCGTTGGAGCAGCAGTCGCCACAGGAGACGGAGTTGGCTCGCCTGATCCGCCAGGAGATGGCGAGTTTCAACGCGCGCTTCTCGGTGCTTGAGGGGAGGATTCTACGCCCCCCCCTAGCTGTAGACCAACGCAGCACACCGGCGCCGACATATGCGAGCCAAGCCGCAGCGCCCCGTGCCGCCCAACCGGCACAAGCAGCTGCTGCCACACAAAAAAGGAGTGTTCGAACTGCCGCCTCGCAAAAGGAAACGGGGCCTAAATCAAATAGGCAGTTAAAAAAAGAGGCTAAACTGGCCAAAAAGGCAGGTGCTACGGCTGCTCCGCCTACACAAACTGCTAGACCAGTAACGGGCGAACCCGCCACTAGACCTGAGTCGGAGTGGACGGTTGCGGGAGCCGCCAAAAAATCAAAAAAGGCGCGCCAGCGGGCCAAAAAGCAGGCCCAGAAGGAACAAGCGGCAGAACGCGAGGCTTAGAACCCCTCGCTCTACAGCAGTGGTTCTCACCCTACAGCCAGGGGCGGAGGAGCGGGGCCTCACATATGCCGGGATCCTGGCAAAGGCGAAATCTGAGATTTCGCTGAGTGATCTCGGTATAACTGGCCTCCGGTGCAAAACAACTGCTGACGGCGGTCGCCTACTGGAGATATCGAGAACTACTAGGGGTCCCAAAGCAGACGCCCTCGCCGATAGACTCAGGACGTCTCTAGGCCCGGACGATGTAAGAGTGTCCAGGCCAACCAAGTGCGCAGATCTGCGCATTTCGGGCCTGAACGATTCCGTCACACAGGAAGAGGTCGCCGCTGCCATCTCCAGGGACGGAGGATGCCCGCCGGATCAAGTCAAGGCGGGCACGATACGCCGGGGTGTCTCTGGCCTCGGGACGATTCTTGTCAGTTGTCCCGTAGCGGCGGCCAAGAAGATAAAAGACAAACGGCTTCTAGTCGGATGGGTCTCGGCGCAAGTCGCGCTCCTAGCGCCCAAGCCCTATCGGTGTTACCGCTGTTTAGAAGGAGGACATGCGGGGGCACGGTGCACCGCGGGGGTAGACCGCAGCCAAATGTGCTTCCGCTGTGGTCAACCCGGTCACAAGGCTGGCACTTGCACTGCCACGCCGCACTGTGTCATCTGTGCGGCATCTGGCAAGCCAGCCGACCATCAGACCGGGTCAAAGGCCTGCGCGAGGCCCAAGAAGAAGAACAATGTCACGGATATGACAAAGAAGGCAACCAGCTCCTCGCAGCCGGTTCACCCGCCGGTTGCGGCAGAACATCCGCCGAGGGCTGGGGGGGAGACAGCGGACACGGACATGGACACACGATGATGGCCCTACGTCGTCTCCTCCAAGCCAACATAAACCACTGCGCCAGGGCTCAGGATCTCTTGCTCCAGAGCATGGCGCAGTGGTCGATCGATGTGGCGGTTGTCGTCGAGCCATATTTTGTGCCACCCAGGGATGACTGGGTGTGCGACACGAACTGCTCGGTGGCACTGATTATGAGGTCTGCCGCAGACACCCTTCCCTTCGAGGCCGTCACCCGTGGGCGGGGCTATGTCGCGGCAATTTGGGGAAATGTTATGGTCGTGGGGGTGTATTTCGCCCCCAGCCTTTCTCTCGCCGACATGGAGGATATCATCTCGGAATTGGGCGCGGTCGTCAGTCGTAGCCGTCCTCGTCCCATGATCGTCCTGGGGGACTTCAATGCCAAATCTACGGCTTGGGGTTCCAAGGGCTTGGGGTACGGATGCGCGGGGCGAGTTAGTGGAGGAGTGGGCGGTCTAGCAGGGCCTGCTTCTCCTGAACCGGGGTTCCGTGCAGACGTGCGTGCGGCAGCGGGGTGGGTCTATAGTGGACCTGTCGTTCGCTAGCCCCGCTCTCGCGCGCACTGTCCAGGACTGGCACGTCCTGGAGGGGGTGGAGACGCTGTCCGATCATCGATATATTCGATTTAGTGTCTCCGCCCAGACCTCGGTTGGGCCGGTCCAACATCCGGTGGGCGTTGGAGACGGCCCGCGTTGGGCACTGAAGCGGCTGAACAGGGAGGCACTCCTGGAGGCCTCTATCGTCAAGGCCTGGCTGGACTCTCCAGGCAGGCCAACCAACATCGACGAAGAGACGGAGTGGTTCCGGGAGAGCATGTCGCACATCTTCGACGCTGGCATGCCCCGAGTCCGGCCGTTACCATCCAGGCGCCAAGTGTACTGGTGGTCGCAGTCGATTGCGCAGTTGCGCATCGCTTGTGTGCGGGTGCGACGCCGGTGCGCAAGGTGCCGAAGAAGAAGACGCCGCCGCCCCTTTACAGCGGCGGCCGAACAGGAAGAGGCGGAACTATACAACCGCTATAGAGAGGCGAAGAGCGCCCTCCAGCTGGCCATTGTCCGGGCAAAGGCCCAGGCCAACGAAGAGTTGCTGGAGACTCTGGACTGAGAGCCGTGGGGACGCCCCTACCTTATGGTACGGGGCAAGTTGCGCCAATGGGCTCCCCCACTGTCCCGGAGTCTCCAGCCACAGCTGCTGGAGGAGGTGGTGTGTGCGTTGTTTCCGTCGAGATCGGAGCACACACCACCAGCCATGGTTCCGCCTCGCAATGTGCCCGACGCGGGAGACGACATTGACGACGACGTGCCCGAAGCCGAGTTGAGAGTGGCGGTGGCTCGCATCAAGAACACCGCCCCAGGTCCCGAGGGCATTCCGGGCCGTGCATGGGTCCTGGCATTGAAGGCTCTCGGGCCCCGACTGGTGGGACTCTTAAGCGCATGTTTGGAGCGGGGCCAGTTTCCAAGCCGGTGGAAGACCGGAAAGCTGGTCCAGCTCAAGAAGGAGGGGCGCCCCGCAGACTCGCCATCTGAATACAGGCCAATCGTGTTGCTGGACGAGGTGTGTAAGATCTTTGAGCGAATCATCGCCAGTCGCCTAGTCCGGCACATGACCGGGGTGGGGCCAGATTTGGCGGACAACCAATTTGGTTTCCGACATGGGCGCTCCACGGTGGACGCGATCATGCGTGAGGGTCCTCACGGAGGAGGCAGTCGCCCGGGGTGAGGTGGTCTTGGCGGTGTCGCTCGACATCGCCAACGCTTTCAACACCTTGCCCTGGAGTACCATCCGAGAGGCACTCCGGTACCATGGGGTGCCGCGCTACATCCAACGCATTGTCGGGGCCTATTTGTCGGAGAGATCGGTGGTGTACCCGGGTCGAGAAGGATGGGGTCGGCGAGAGACGTCGTGCGGCGTTCCACAGGGTTCGGTGTTGGGGCCGCTCCTGTGGAACGTAGGGTACGACTGGGCTCTGCGCGGTGCGCTTCTCCACGGCGTCGGCGTCATTTGTTACGCCGACGATACGCTAGTTACAGCGCGTGGGAAGTCGTACCGGCAAGCGGCCATACGCGCGACCGCTGGTGTCGCGCACGTCGTGGGTAGGATCCGGCGGCTGGGCTTAGAGGTGGCATTGCACAAGTCTGAGGCCCTTAGTTTTTCATGGGCCGAGGATGAAGCCGCCGCCTCCGGGGTCCAGCATCATAGTAGGAGGGGTTTCCATCGCGGTCGGGTCTAAGATGAGGTACCTTGGACTCGTCCTCGACAGTCGGTGGAACTTCGGGCCGCACTTTACACGGCTCGCCCCCGATTGTTGGGCGCCGCTTCTGCGCTCTCGCGCTTGCTGCCCAACCTGGGTGGGCCCAACTCCTCCTGCCGGAGGCTCTACACGGGGGTCGTACGGTCGATGGCGCTATACGGCGCCCCTGTGTGGGCGGACGCCCTGACGGCCCGCAACGTCGCCGCGCTGCGAAGGCCGCAGCACGCGATGGCCGTCAGGATCATAAGGGGATACCGTACGATCTCCTTTGAGGCAGCGAGCCTCCTAGCCGGATCCCCGCCATGGGACCTCGATGCAAGGCTCCTCGCGTCGCTCTATTGGTGGCGCGCGGAGGCGGCCGAGCGGGGCGAGCACCTGGTGCCTCGACAGGTTGAGGCACGCAGGGCGGAGCTCCGCCAGGTCCTAGTGGCGAAGTGGCAGACGCGCTTAGCGCAACCCACGGCGGGGCACGCCGCTGTAGCGGCGGTAAGGCCCGTTCTAGAGGAGTGGCTCAATAGGAGCCACGGCGCCCTCAGCTTCCGACTGACGCAGGTGCTTACCGGACACGGGTGTTTCGGGAAATACCTGTGTCGCATAGGCCGGGAGCCGACGTCCCAGTGCCACCATTGTGGTGATTGCCACGACGATACGGTGCTACATACGTTGGCGGAGTGCCCAGCTTGGGCCGAGCAGCGCCGTGACTTGGTCGCGGCCGTAGGAGCTGCGGGGAACCTATCGCTTCCGGCTGTTGTGTCTGCCATGGTCGGGAGCGAGTCAGGGTGGAGTGCCGCCGCCACCTTCTGCGAGGCCGTGATGCTCGCGAAGGAGGCGGCGGAAAGGGAGAGAGAGGCTGCCTCCTCTCTACCCTACCGCAGCAGACGTACTGGGCGTCGTAGGGTAGCTGACTACCGGCCACCGTAGGGCGCGGCCTGCGGACGGCAGACCCGGGGCGTCTTGTCGTCCGACCAGCGGCAGGCCTAGAGGCGGCGGCGTCGTGTTCCGCGCGCGCCTCATAGTGAAGTCCTGCGGCCGGGGTGACGGCCGCAGTGGGTGTCGGGCCTGCCTGACCATCTGGAGGGCCAATACCCGCCGGGGGGTAGCGACGAATGCTTCGGCGATACCCGCCCCTCACATTTTTTTTTTTTTTTAGTCAGTAAGACGTTAGGGCCGTGGCCGTGGCCGTGGCCGAGGAGGCCGTGACCTGCGGCGGAGTGGTGTTGGCGGTGTCCTTGGACCGAAGACGTGCGCGAGTTTCGCGAAGCCGCTCGCCGAGCCACCATGGTCAGATGGTCGTTCCGGCTGGAGACTCCACGCGCTGGCTTCGCCGCCGTGGAGGCTCTCCAGCCGGTCATCGCCGAGTGGGCAGGGCGGCAGCACGGGACCCTTTCCTTCCGGCTGACGCAGGTGCTTTCCGGGCACGGTTGCTTCGGAAGGTATCTGTACTCGGTCGCTAGGAGGAAATCGAGTCCCGCCTGCCACCACTGCGACTGCAGTGAGGATTCGGCCCAGCACACGCTGGCGGTTTGCCCCGCATGGGCGACGCAGCGCCGGGCCCTCACTGCAGTCATCGGAGCAGATCTCTGTCGGGCCTGTCCTCCTCATGAATGCACCCCAGGAACACAGAGGGGCGCATTCCGCCACATTAGTATGGGGCGGCGGGTCCCCCGACCCACCGCCCGTGGCCACTCTCATTCGGGGACGCGGGCAAATCGTGTTAGCGAACGAGGCGACGGCAGCCCAACACTGTTCGCTGCCGGCCATAGCTGGAATTATGGCCGACAGCGACAGGTCCGCACCAACGGTGCTCGTGAGGGCCGTCCTTTGTTCGGCCCACGCCTCACACACGGCCATGGTGTGATACGCCGTGTCACGAGGAGTTGGGTGAGGTGGTACGTCGGAGCC